GCGCACGACCGTTCGCGCTGCGGCTCCGCAAACAAGCGGCCAAGGAATCGAGGAAGAGCAGAGCGGAGCGCCCAGGCCAGGAACAGATGAGACCGACGAGATGTCTCAACGGAGCGGCCCGGCGACTTGTAAACCTAGGGACCCGAACATACGGCCACATAACCGACCTGGCCCGGACGATGATGAAGAAGAAGATTACTTCGGCGGCGATAAACCCGTCGAAGTCCCACTTAGTTAAGATCGAGTTCCACATTGGAACTCGATCCCCCATTGGAATAACTTTAAGGAGGCATTGCCGAGAAACGGCACGGTCGAGAACCGACCTTTCGACTGAGAAACAGTCTAGCTGAGAAACAGCGCCGTCGAGAACCGACTTCGGAATGGACACTATACTTCAGTTTTTTTTTCTTGGAAAATGACCAACCATGTACGCGGCGGACGTCAACGACGATTTTGCCAGAAAGCCGACTACACAAGTCGGCCGGATTCTTTGGTCGGACCCGGAAACGCGTGGTTAGACCCGGGTATTTCGGCTCTTTCACCGTACCGGTACGTCCCCCAAGGAATCCCCTGGAACGAACTGGGCAATCGACCCCAGTTCACCAGCTTGGCAAAGACAGATCGTAACCACATCTGCTAACAAAGCAGATCGTCAACCACGTTCTGCGACCATCGGAGCCAACAGAAGCCCCAATCCGCGTTACATGGAGATCGATACTCCGGCCAACCGACTCCGGAGAAGAAACCGAGAGGATTACGCTAACATGGCGCGAAACACGTGACTGCGCGCGTTTCACGCCATGTTTGCCAAGCACCCGTGGCCAACTTCGGAACCGGGTGGCCGAGCAGCCTTCACCATTGTAAACAGCGGAAATCCCTCGGCCGAGCCGCCAACAGTGCAGGAAGACTCGGATTTGACTAGGTACGGGAGCCGACCACAAAGGTCGACTTCGTACTTTGCCCATAACTTGGAGACATAACGGATACTGCTGCGCAAGTCGACCACAAAGGTCGGTTGTGCAAGCCGATCACAAAGATCGGTTTTGAAAACTGCTCGACCTGTAACGACGCAGATCGTTAGAACCACGACTCGCTACCTTCAAATGATCACACAGATCGACGGAGTATTTGGTAGCCGACCAACAAGAAGTCGACCATGGACGGAAGCTGGCAGTAGCAACGTGGTAACTTAACCGGATTCTCCGTTTGAATCCAGACCTACAGGCTCTGTACCTGGAGATCAACCGCAGTCTCCCCCGGACGACATCGGGTAAACCAGCCGATTCACCGGTGACCACGACTACGCGTCGTTCGAACGTGCTGCCATTCCCTGAAGAGGAACAGCGACGGTGATTTGGATACTGGTGTACCAACGACTCCGCCGCGACCTGCTTCCCCATGTCTCCAATGGAACATCCTAGGCAGACCGTGTTAGAATACGCGATCTGCACCCTCTTAATGAACCCCGCTGACAAGGATCATGCGGCCGCAACAAAGTGGCAGCATGGCCTTTGTCAGCGGCAAAGAAAATTTCCCCGTGGACGTGAGTCGTCTACCCCAACAGAAGCGGCTAGGCGTCACAGGTTCGCGACAAAACAGAATGGAAAATCGGATCTGACGACCTCAGGGACTTGCATGTGCATGAAGTTTAAACCAAAGAGCTCGACTACAACCGGGGCCACAAAGACCCTTAGCGTTGTAGGAGCGCAGTGCATGATGAAACGCCAGTCAATCGGCCAACAGATGCCGGAGCAAAACTCCTACCGCAGGACTGGCGACCCAGAAGAAGCAAGCAATTCGGATTGACCGACCTCAACAGTAGCTCGGATCCGACCTGGAGTTCACGTCAGAGATCACAGAAGGAACGGAGTTGTGTTGCCGAACATCCTCTGCCAGTCCGAACTGACCGAAGGATGTCCTGACACCAAGGACCCGGCCAACTGTAGCCGAACGCACAGAACTCCTAAAATGAAGTCGACAACCATCAGATGGAGGTCGGAAGTAAGCGACAACAAGTCGGAAAACCAACCAGAAGTACGAAATCGACCTCCAGTGGAAGAACTTAGCCTTTCGGCGGATAAACACAAAGTTTTTCCGACTTGAGGAAGTCGGAAAATAGCCAACCTCCGAACTTGGATATGGATATCCGACCTCAAGCCGAGGTCGGAAGTGACCGTACACAAGTCGGTAGGGTACGACAACAAGTCGGCAAAGACATTCAGAAGTCGAGAACCGACCTCCTAACGGAAAAATCCGACCTTCGGACGGATGGAAACATAGTTCATCCGACCTTCCGAAGTCGACTATAACCGACCACATGTCGGAAGTCGGCAACTCAGTCAACATGACGGAAGAAGAACGACAGATATCTGCGGTGGACGAATTCGACTTGAAGGAACTTGTTTAGCCCCACATGGGCATGTTATTGCAGGTTAACCCTAGTCGACCACTGACGGATAGGATAACCGACCCCGACAGAAGGTCGGATAACAACGGAACAGATTGGATGGAAGTCGACTGGACACTTCCATCGATGAAACTCATGAATTTCGACCGGACCTTCGAGCCAGTTCGACTCGGATTACTACAAACCAGGCTCGTGGTAGCAGATTGAACGGTTGTAACCGACCACTTTTGAACGGAACTGCTGTACATGACGACCACATAGGCCGCATGACTTACTTACAGCTTTCTCCGACCTGGACTTTAGCAATTCGGAACATAGCCGAATTCCCTTAGCCGCCGGTCGACTTACCGGTAGGCCGACCTTGGTCAAACCGACCTCGGTTCTATTCCCCATTCAGAGAGGATGCCTCGGCATTTGCAACCGCAACAGTGTCTCTCTATCCCGAACGGACGGATACGAGTCGGAAGTAAGTGTTTAACCGTGCTTATCCGACCTCGGTGAATTTAACCGGTTACAACGGGTAACCCGGGAACCGATGCCCCGGACCCAACTTACCGGATGAAAGCGGACAGGAGACCCCGTGGACGTCATCCTAGTCGGAATAGGACCCCCGGACAGATTTTTGCATTTTTTTTTAGCATTTTTCCTAACAAACGGAATTGTATTTTTCTAGTTCGATCTCTTTGACAGATCTGTTTTGTAACCCCTTTTGCTCACTGGAATTGTGATTAAACTTTATTTCATACTTTCTTTCGCGCTGTATACAACTTTCATTACACTTTTCTTTCACATTGTTCTCCGTTGCCAACAGAAGCAAGAAGCCAGCCAACAGAAGCAACACCGGTCCAACGAAACGCCCGAGCGGCTTCCGGATTTCTCGGCCGTGAGTGGCTTCCACTCATGGGTTCGGAAGTGAAGAAGGGACGGTCGACCAGACACCGGACTCCCACTGCCAGAGGACGCGTACTAGCGACTCCACTTTGGGTCCGACTGGAGAGTTGTGCGGTACTGGTGCGGTACCGAGTCGGAGCATCCTTCGCAGGAGCTCGGATTCCCGCCCAGAGGCATGTCAGAGGCACATGACTGCGCCTGGTGCATACGGCCCACCATGGACGTACTGCACTCATGCTTGCCATATCGCCTCTCTCGCTGTACGTACGTGTGCTGCTGCACTGCACTCATATCCGCTGAAGCGGATATATGCGGCGCACACACTGAGCATACTTGCTCTCTCGTCCCTCTCTCGCTGTATGACTCAGCGTACGCTCGCGTTGGATTGAGTCCAGTCGGCGCATCATCACACAGCTGATGGCACACAGCACGTGCTTGCCGCCAGTTGCTTCTTTCACGCCTTGACGAACGCTCAAGAGCTCTTCTAGCATTCACTTGCTTGCTTAGCCATCAGTGCTTTGTTTTTGCTTTCCCTGCTATTACGCAGCATTGTTCCCTTTATTTGTCAATAAAGCACACTCGTGATCTCCTCGCGCTTGCCTGTTACAAACTCGCAAACGCCTAAGTTTGTTACAGCCTGTCATCCTGGCGACGGCTATCTTCTTGACAAAACTGCACCGGATTTGTGTTGCATTATGGTACTGGTAAAAGGCATAGGTGTGTTGCAGATGTTGCACGGAATAGCCGCCCGCCTGTCCTACTGGGTGGACCTGCGCCCGTACTTCGACAACACCACTTATGAAGCCTTCTTCCCGGACGGCGCCAATGACCTCTCTCCCGGCGCACTGACTGTCGGCGCGCTAGGCTACATCATCTCGGCGCCCTTTTGTATCATTGTCGACTTTGGCGTGCCGCTGGTGGTGTTAACCACCGTACTGTGCTTGTATGGCCTCTCTTGCTGGCACTGCTGCACCGCCCAACGCACGGGACCGCGGGACACCGAAGCGGCGCGCCAGCCGTTAGCCACGCGGGAGACCACACCTCTGGCCAACCGGGATTACATCTTGGTTGGGTTATTTGTTCTAAGCACTGCCTGGTACTTCGGGGCGCTGATCATCTGGCCGTTCCTCTTTCCCGAACGCGCCGATCTGCCGCTTCACATGGTGGCGATCCTGGCCTGCATCCCCGGGACCGTCTGGCTGTGGAAGGCGGCGCGTCAGCTGGGATGTGCGGACAAATACCGAATGCGCGGTGGATATGGGGCGATTTCTGCCGGCGATGAAGTGTGCGATTAAATTGTCATGGGCTGCGGAGCGAAAGTCGTCCCACTTGTGTTTTTTTTTCCAGCTTTTTAACCGGGAATCAATGCAATGAGTGCTTTGTGTACAGCCCCATCTCATGCTAGATGGGATAATTTCTTCATTTGGTTGTTTTTCAGTGGGCGAAGCTCGCTTGTAACTGTGCACGTTGTTGAATCACTATACTTTCAAATTGCTTTCGTATCAACCGATCTGTCGGCTTTCGGCAACACTGTTTGTGTGAGCCTGTACCCGCTTTGTTCACTCATACAGCAAGAGTGATCGTTATCGAGTAGCGTGCAACAAGCGTGATTGTAGCGTGCTCCTCCATGCAGATTGCTTACGCAGTATACTGTAAGCTGCCGTTCTTCGATAATATGTAATAGCACGAACCGCCTACAAAATGTGCTGAGGCTTTCGCAGTTAAACACTGTCACTATATCGAATAACCGATTACTACGTCATAGTAATTATGAACGCGACATCGCTGTACTTCAAGCAGTTATACTCTGGTTCTCGCGACGTCAACTACGGGAACACTGTCCTGGTGCAGCGCGATGGCGGTCAGTGTTGGCTCGGGTACGTGCGGGACATCGACGTCGAGTACTTCTTTGTGGACTTCGATTCCAGCACAGTCCACGCCGAATGGATCCATTCCAAACATCTCTGGCCGCACCATTTCCTTCAACGGCAACTGGCAGGTGATGGCTCCTCGTGGCCAGTAGCGATACGCGACAGGGACGGTGGCCCGCTGACTTTCCGGCCGGCAACCATCATTGGTCCCCTCTGTGACATGTTCTGCATTGTACGCCTGGAGAACGAAAATCCAGTTAATGTGGCCATCGTGCACGAAAGCCATTTCGCGGCACAGCTACCCACTACCAGTGGTGAACCATGCTTTTTCGGAAGAACTAATGGAATCGTCTATCAGAAGCATGTCATCAGCTTCCGCTTAGCTTACCTGCTCAACAACGTACAGTTCCTGCCCAGGTTCCTGGCCGGTACTTGCCGGCTCGCCCTCAGCCACACTGAACGTCGGTATACTTTTACAAATCAATATGAAAGAACCGTTGGAACGGATCATTTCGCGTTCGTCTGTGAATGGGCGCACGAGCCGGCAGTTAGGCGCATTGAGTTTGATGTCGGTTGCCGCGCCTTTGTGCGAGCAGGAGTCGATACGGTAACCTTTATCTGCGCCGAGGTACATGGTACAAGTACCAAACGGACAGACGTTGTCGTTAAAGATCTGCGCGTTCACACTTCCCTCCGCGGTATTAGTCCAAAATTGTTCACATAATGTTTGCTGCTGCGTCCTTAGGTTATTAATAGGCTTTTTATTTGTATGTATTTTGTTAGCCATGATCGGCGCTCTATATTGTGGGAACAGAGTTTACTGCATGAAACTTTAAAATTACGTAATTTCAAAAACAAATCACAACAAGAACCTCAGACTGTGCTGATGTATTCCATTTGATGTAAAAATGCTGTTGCGCTGATGTTTTCTCATACAGTACAGTAATTTACAGATGTGGACGAGTTGACCATTAGTGGACGAGTTGACCACCTTGACCACCATGTGGACGAGTTGACCACCTTTCACATCCGGTCTTGGCGGGCGTTACATTTGCTTTGCCTGTGGACACCCAGTCACAAGTTGGCCGGCAAGTCAGCTGTTATATCTTTCGTGAAACAAATACCCTGCTTTATTTGTAGAGTTCTAAATCAAGGTCGCACTTGGTATGACTGTGTCATAAAATTAATAACGTTAGTGGACCATTTCCTGAATGGTAGTATCTAGATCATCTGCACTAGTAGTCATCTGAGTGTTATGGTATCACATTTGCTGTTCACCAGGGTGTGCGCTCTTTGGAGACTCCTGCTGCAAAAATACGTGGACGACCGACATATTATTTTCGACATCTATCCCGTACGAGAACAAGTGAACTGGCAGGATCCATTCTCCGTCGTTCGCGAGCACCTTCTATACAAGTTCGTAACGATGCTTGACCGCGCCATAACCCGGCAGACAAAAACGGTGGCAGTCATTAACAGCGAACAACGTCAAGAAACTATAAAAGATTTCGCGGCCAAATTGTGGACGGTCCATCGGTTGCTGGAGGCCAAAACCATTCGCCTGCCAAATATTATCATCAAAAACGCTCTCGACCTGAAATTCCCGCACTGCCCGTTGTTGAATCTTGGTCGGAATAAGCAAACAGGCGCATATGAGTGTCGCACGCTGCCAGCCTTGATGGCAGTGTGTGAACAGCTTGTGCTGCTCAAATTCACCGCGTTCTATGTCAACGATCCTGCGTTACTGAATATCCTGTACAACGATGGTAATCGGCATGAGTGTCGCCCTGAGTTGGAATTTCGACGGCGTCCGGGCGCTGTATCCTTGAATGTGGTCATTCCGTATTTGCGATTTCATTCCACGGAAACAGCCGTCGAGCACAGGGAACGCTTCCTAGCCGCGGTAAACGACAACTTGTCCGGCGGTTAATCCGCGAATGCGGGACCAAGCCAACGCTTTGCAAGCGCGCTGGCTACGAACGCGGACCATCTCAGTTAATGCAGCGGTATTCGAATATTTCAGCAGTATTGAGTATTGACGGATTACATATTGTACAGTGTGATTTAAATGCAGGTGTTTTTTGCTTGATCAGATTCGGTACTGTCGGAGCCCATGCAAGCACACAGAGACGGGATGGTATCGCCAAGCTCAGCGGATTGGCTGTGCACATCCTCGCCGCATACTATTCAGACTGAGAATGATACTGCCCATTCCCGTAACCACTGCTTTCAAGTGCTTTGTTAGTTCTTTCGCACTGCCGCAATCATAGTCCTGCCCAGCACTTATTGAACAATAAATCGATTATGTAGTACAATTCGCATTTAAGGGACTTTGCATTTATCATCTCCGTCGCCCATGAATCACTTCCGGAAAGGGACATTCTTCGGGAAATAAGTGCAGCATCATTTGACATGTGAAATTAAAATTGTTCAAACCATAAAAATTCTATGTAATTAACCAGAAAGATTTTTGTGCTAGCGGCTGCGTCAGTCTTCGAAGAATGCATCAAGAACTGCGAAGGTCACGTTGGTCAAAGTGGTTACGTCCAGTAGCCGGAGATCCATCGTGTTCCAATGTTGTGGATGATAATTCCGATGGAAACTGTTGAACCTGATTAAGAAAAAAATCAGCTGATCAAATGAACGACTGTGGTAAACAGCGAGCTTGGTAATCTGGGCTGAAAATGATTTCAAGTTAGGTGACTTGAAAATTCACCTAGAAAACGCATTCACGTTAAAGAAAAGTCTCACCATTTACCGATCTTTTTTAAATTTTGTACATTAGTACGAAAGTCGCTTCTGCACCGAACCAGAGATGCACCATTCTTTGAAATTTAAAAATGAGTTACAAATATTTAAATTCATTTCAAAATTTTAAAATGTTCGAAGTCTGATTCAGTGTAAAACGATCTTCATACTATATGATGGTTTTGATGCAGAATTGGAAGAAGATCGATCCATAATGAGACTTTTGTTGGACCTGAACGTGTTCTAACCTTTTGAAATTTTCTGAATGTCATAACTCCCCAACCGTATGTTGTGCCGCACTGACATTTTCAGGCCATGAATTTAAATCATTTGGCTACAGAATGCCAGAAAAGATGCAAAAAAAGCGCTTGGGAGAGCGCGGAAGTTAAAGCTTTTTTGGTGGTACATGAATTTGGTATCCTGTACCGGGTCACCTTTCTTAAGCACAATGTACTTACAGCTTCAAGAAAATACGAATGCTGATCCACTCCTCCGGGTAGGCCAACGTCTGCACCCAGCGCCCGTGTATTGCTGTGACCTTTCCCAAAACGCGCTGACTAGCGGGCATGCAGTGTTGGTTTGCTGCTGCCAGAAAGAGTCGGGACTGTTCTACGGCCGTCTGCGCCGCGCGAAAGCGCAGAAGCGGAATGATAATATCGCACCGACCGTCATACTCACAACGAGTAAACACCATCTCGGACAAGGGTAAAGCAGACGTAGTACCAGTATCCCAATGCAAAATCTCCAGCGCTGATCTGAGGATCGCTTCCCACGCGTTGTAGTTACTCAGCACCAGCTCTTCACAAACCGACATCATCGGGGACAGCGACGGATATTCGAATGTGTCGGTGTCGGAATCGTGACAGACGGTCAGGAGAGGCGATTCAATGCAATCGCGGCCGTTCTTTACAATAACTACAGGCAGCCGAATGCCTTTAGCTTCAAGTACTCGTTGCACCGTCCACATTCGCTGTTGGACAAATGCATCCCTCGAAGTGTGCACGTGATTTCCGTCTTGCGTTAGCGTATGCGTGCGTCCAGGAAGGATGCCGTCCAACACGGTTACCAGTTTGTAGCTGCGGTAATCACTGTAGCATTTTAACGACGCATCTTCATGTGGCTTTTTCTGGCACGTCGAGCACAGATCGAAGATGAAGTGACGGTTATTAATGCAGTTCCGGGAAAGAAGCCGCCACAGAGCGCAAACTCTAGGGAGTACCAATTTATTAATTTGTAGGATTCTCTTATCGGTGCTCTGATTTAAAGCAAAAAAAGAAATTGAAGTATCACACAGGGACTGCATCGAGCAGACTTGGTAACTCAGAGTTAGAAACTGATAAAAATTAAAAAAATACGATTCACGGCTTTGTAGTGTTAAATGAGCGCAAATGCGGTAACGTACCGGCTCGTCTGCACCTGTGAATCCACATCCAAATTAAACAAAATTTCTTTTATTATGGGATGCGGCAGTTCGCTGATGGGCATTTCTTCCGTATCTGCAGATTAGGTAATGAAGAAATGCTGTACGCAAGCATTATATTCTTGCCTGTTTTCGTGGAACCTCTACGGTGTTTCTTCAACAAAATGTTTCGAGGCAAAATATGAATTATGGTCAAACATGTAACAATCGAAAATAAGAACAGTCAAGAAATGAAAAGATCGTGGAGCAATAAGCAATTTAGATGACGACGCACTGAGATAAAGGTATAATGCACTACTTGTCATTCGATTAATGTACCGGTTCACTAACCAGGCTGCAGCACGCTCCCCGCCGTCCTATCCAAGTCAATGCAGGCAGTTTTTTGCTTCTCACGGATGTAGTTTTTGCACGCTCTGTTTACAGAAACTTTGTGCCAGAACATGCTGCGACCCGCTGCGTCGCCATGCATTTCAGCACAAACGAAGGTGACCGTATCCTGTTCGACCCGCACAAACACGCGACAACCCAAATCTATAGTATATGTCTGCCGGCGATGAGCACCTTTACCCACACAAGCGAAAACGCTCCTGTCAGTAGCAACTGTTCTTCGAAAGGGGCAGTTTGAATCACACAAATCAGATTTCCGGTTCAGTGCTAGATGGGAGGTTTGGCCCAGGAAAGTCGGTAGGAAATCTGCTCCAGACAGCAAATGAGCGTCCGAAAGCGCAACGACATGTTTCTTGTACTGATACCCGGTAGTCCGCCGGAAGAAATTCTCACCATCGTCAACTGCTGGCAGACTTTCGGCGAAATAATTGCGATGTACGATGCGGTTCGTTGAATTCTTCTCGGCCAAGTTTGGACTGCCCACGCGCACGATGACGGAAGCGTCCCACTGATCGGTGACCGTACACGTTCGGAAAACTACCGGCCCACCTGCGTGCTCCCGCGGAGCCACCTGGGTTGATTCGCCTCGATGGATGGATTTTTGTGCGGAAAGGAAATGATGTGGCCAGATATGTTTAATGGAGATCCGCTGGGCATCGATCGTGCTGGCATCGAAATCGATGAAGAAGCGAGCTTCTTTTATCATGATGATTTTCATTATTACGAAAGGTAAATTTCAAGCTTTACGTAGTAAGAACTGTGCGATAGTGTCTTCTAGATGTTTGAATGGACAGGTAACTGGGAGTCTGGGACTACAACGGCTCAACATGTAGGAGCTCCTTGTAGCTGCTTTTCTTCAAACAGCGCCTCAAAGGTAAGTTGACTGCATTAATCGTTGTAATTTTGACTTTTTTGTTTTAGAGACAACCACAGTGTAGATTGTTTATGAGTCGATGCTGGTTTTAGGTGCTATTCCGTCAGCGGAGCTCCGCACAGGCCTGCACCGTATGGATAAAATAAATGAAAAAAAAGCAGTCCACAATAGACTCCACATAGTCCACATAAACCACCAACACAAAATTGACAATTAAGTTAAAACGGAAAACTGGGTCGCAAAAAAACTCCAAAAAATTTAATTCTTTTTATTTTTTATTAATAAGAAATTTTGCAAAAAATGTTTGGCATTGGCTGCTTTTAAAATGCCGTGCCAATTGACTATTAATTTCCCAATTGGATAATATTGAGCCAATTAGCGTCTTTGTTATGATCACGCCTAGTGGTTTTGTGCAAATACGGTTGGGTGATATCTGGCCACTCACAGAGCGGATAGATGCTCGACAGGCCAATGCGGGAGCGGACATACTAACGTGCTCCGTTGATATGTGGAGTCATATCAACGCAACACGCTACGATCTCACTTTTTCCGGGAGGGTGCTCAGTAGTCGTTTATCCCCAATCGAGTAATTATTTAGTTCAAAGATAGTGAACAGCAAGGGAGAGAATGAAATAAAACAGTTTTATCGTGTATGGTGCTAGTGTTTTCACTGTACTGTGAGTGTAAAAAAGGAACATATTTTTAAGGGATTTGGCCCGGTACATAGCACCAAATTCACATACATCCAACTTTTTTTTGCTGTCGCGCACTCCTATACCCTGTTTTGCACTGCTTTATAATATTTTGTAGCCAAAGAATTCGTATACATAGGCGAAAAAACCGTATGTGCGCGCAACATCCGGTTCGGGAGTTTTAGTGAAAATTTCACTTTTGGTACACCTCGGCGCGTTTAAACTTTTGGAATTTTATTTAATAAAATTCCAAAAGTCTAAACGCGCCGAGGTGTACCAAAAGTCTCATTATGAACCGGTGCTCTTCAAATTTTGCACGAAACGCACATTACCATGAAGATCGTTTTGGTATCGAACCAGCTTTCTACCACTTTTTCCAAATTTTAAATTAATTTTTAAAAATTTTGAAATTCATTTTACAATTTTAAAAAATAGTGGGCGACAGCACAAGTTCCCGTGAATGTACCCGAATTAGGTACTATGTACCAAGGCAAATCCCTTGAAATTGCACCAGCATCGAGTACTACGAGGAGACCAGATCACTGTGCGGTCAGATCGAAGGCCTAATTGAACAGATCGTCCCGTGCGTTAGGATGCGTTGCGTTTTGGTTCCGGTTCACTCTGATATCGCTTTGATCAAGCACACAAAATATAGTTTACTGTTTTTGAGTTCCGAGTCCTGCCTAGCGGAACGCACTAAACAAGCAAACCAACGAGCAAGACTCAATAGGACTTTGCATTTTATGACTCCGCTTTTCGCGCAGTAATTTGAAAAAGACAGCCTTCAGGAAACAGCTGCACAATCTGAAACTGAAATTGTCCAAACCAGTAAAATTCTATTTAAATAACCAGGTATGTTTTTGTACTGACGGCTGCTTTAGCCTTCAAAGGAAGCATCAAGGACAGCGGAGGTCACGTTGGTCAAAGTGGCAACGTCCAGCTGTCGGAGGTCCATTGTGTCCCACTGCTGCTGAGAGTGATTCCAACGGAAGTTGTTGAACCTGATAAAAAAATTTATTTGGCCAAATGAACAGATGCTGCAGATAGTTGAGCGAAAGATGCAGATAGAGAGCTTGATGCTCTAGGTTCAAACTATCTCTCTCTCTGGGCTCTGAGTTTCGGTAATACAGCTTCCAAAATAATTATCTTATAAAAACGAAAAAGTTTAAAAACTGCTGTAGCAACCGCTTCAGCGCCAATACGATACTTAAGTATGGATGTTCTGCAAAGTAACTGAACCAGTCAAGTTGGAGAATTTACTTCGAACGTCTTACAGCTTCAGGAAAATACGAATGCTAGTCCACTCATCACTGTCAGGATAGCCCAGCACTTCAACCCAGCGCGCGTGTATCGCTGTGACCTTTTCCAAAACGCGCGGACTAACCGCCGGACAGTGTTCGTCTGCTGCTGCCAAAAAGAGTCGGGACTGTTCTGCGGCCGTTTGCGTCGCGCGAAAACGTAAAAACGGAATGATAACATCATCGCATCGAGCGTCAATGTCGCGACGTGTAGATGCCGTCACGGCCGTAAATGAACCCGAAGTAATGCCAGTATCCCGGTGCAAAATCCCCCTCGCCGATCTTCTTTTCCATTTTGAAAAGTGCTAAATGAGCGCAACTGCCGTAACTTACCGGCGCGTCTGCACCTGGGAATCCACATCCAAAATAAGCAAAATCCCTGATACGATGGGATGCGGCAGTTGACTGATGGACATTTCTTCGGTATCTGCAGAATATCGAATAACAAAATGCTGCATTATATTCTGTTTTCATGGAACCGTTAAAGTGGTTCTTCAACAAACTATTCCGACACAAAGTAAGGACATACGGGGGAATATAAGTCACATTTGAAAATTATAACCGTAAGGTCAAGAAATCGAAGACATGGTGAAGCAATAAAAAATTTAGATGTCGACACACTGCAGTAAAGGCATATTGCACGGTTTCTCGATTGAAGCGCCGTTGCACCGAGTCACTGACCATGCTGCAGTGCTTTCCCCAACGTCCTATCCAAGTTAATGCAGATTGTCTTAAGCTTTTCACGGATGTAGTCCTTGCACGCTTTCTCTAAAGAAAGTTGGTCCCAGAACACGCTACGACCCGCTGCGTTTCCATGCATTTCAGCACAAAAGAAGGTGACCGTATCGTTTCCCACTCGCGCAAACACTCGACAACCCAAATCTATCATATATTTCCCCCCGCGATGGGGGCCTTTTGTATCCATACAATCGAAAAAGCTTTGTCAAATGCAAATCCTATTCGAAAACGGCAGTTTGAATCACACAAATCAGATTTCCGGTTCAGTGCTAGCTGGGATGTTTGGCCCACAAACATCGGTAGGAAATCCGCTTCAGGCAGCAAATAAGCGTCCGAAAGCGCAACGACATGTTTTCTGTATAGAAACCCGGTAGTTCGCCGAAAGAAATTGTCACCCTTGTCAACTGCTGGTAGACTTTCAACGAGATAATTGCGATGAACGATGTGGTTCGTTGAATTCTTTGTACGGACTACGGCGTACAAAGCGTCCGACTGATCGATGGCTGTGCCCAATTGGAAGACCATCGGCCCACCTGCGTACTGCCGCAGAGCTATCTGGATTGATTTGCCTCCATAGATGGTTGGCCATTTTTGGTCGGAAACGAAATGATGTGGCCAGACATATTTAGTGGAGATCCACTGGGCATCGATCGTGCTGGCATCGAAATCGATGAAGAAGCGATCGTCGTCAATATCCTGTACATACCCCAGCCACCATTGGCCGTTGTCGCGCTGCACCAGCACCGTGTTCCCGTAGTTAACTTCCCGCGAATCCCTGAACAATTTACGAAAATACAGCGTTGTCGCAGGCATGGCCTAGTGAATCTCCCAAAGCGAGTAATAAAACAATAAAAAAAGCAGAGCAAGAGGCAGCAAGCGAGAGAGAGCGATATAAGAGAGCGTGGAGTGTATGACGCTAACGTAGTCCGAAATTGTAATCATAAAATACCACCGGTGCAATTATCGTATCGCTTTCATAATCACGTACATATATCGGCCCTATGGCCACTTTGATTCCCATGTGTGCTGATGTTATTACATGTCACAATATTCCGTATTATCTTATCACTAGCTTTCTTGTTGTTATCTCTAATACCTGCAGAGAGAGTGAGCAGCGCCGTAATTCAAAAGACAAACATTTTCATAATTGCGCCAGTAATAATTCACAGCAGCTGCTAATTTGCAAATTTAATTAAATTTGCAGAGCTGCTAAATAATTTTTCCAATTCGTTAACCTTCAAGAGCCAGTGCCATTTCGTCCCATTTAGCAGTGAGGGCCGTTAGTTGCTCGATGCGGGCGCACAGCACTCAAAACAGCCCAATTTGACCAAAGGCAGTTTCAGATCAGTTCGATAATTGCGATTGAAAGCGAACAACAAAATCGGATTAATCAGAGAATTCAGAAGCAAGCAATACAAAATATATTGCGGTCGCAAAATCGACGTAGTTTTCAACTTGGATATCATTGTTCCAACCATGAAACGATATTTGGCATAGAGTACTGCCGGGATAACAGTGGCCAACGTTATTGCGAAATTCACCCTGCCGGGTCTTTGCTCTTTATTACCGAAAAAGTTAGTCAGGTTATATCTCGCATTGGAAGGCGGTCTTCCGGATTCCCGCAATACCAGTACTCTTGCTGCCAGCGAAATCTTGGCTCGGCGATACATGTGCAATAAAAGTCTGCCGTGCAATCCAGCGAGAACCAGAACCGGGAAAACATATAAGAATAATGCTATCACGATATGAACAAGTGGAAAGTTTGGAATGAAGAGTAGGCGTGGCACATGCGAAAGAGAAAGGCGAACTCCTGTTATAGATACAGGTTGCACATGCAAGAAGCTGTCGACGACATAAGCGAAGTGAACCGGTAATATCGGTCCGGAATATTGCGTTTGTAGCCGGCCGAAAGACTTACGCAGTCCGACAGAATGGTTTACGTATCGCAAACTTTTGTGCCGGGTTCCGGCGGAAAGGTTTACGCTGGAAGGCTTCCAGGTAGCGAACAGCAGAAATCACGGTTATGTGGGCAATGTCCGTGCTAGTTACGACGTCTCTGTTGAGGGATAAAAGGCACGGCAGATTTTCAGTAGTAGTAACCCTCCGGAATTGAACCAATATAAAAGGTGAAAACGCTTGAAAATCCAGTTTAACAAAGATCCCAGATGCTACCGGATATTAAAAAGCAGCCAATCAGTGCACGTTGCTTTGCATTATGGAGTATCAGCAGGCAGATATTTTAAAAATTGCCGAGAAAACCAGATTTATGCTTAACAATTCCAGGGACAGTGTATGCCAGGTCCCTTGACCAGGCCCTCCAGCAAACCGTTGGTTGCGTTCCCATAGTTTGATTTATGTTCCTCTGTGCGGTTTCTCATGTTCGATACAGTGCAATGTTGGTTGTTAACTGGTTATTCATGAATCTGTCATGCTGTTTTTTGGGGCATCGGAAAGTCGTTTGCCGATTATGTTTCGTACAAGTTTTGCTCGATAAACCTACCGATCTCAGATATTTTGTTCCGCTACAGCTGAAGCGCTCGGACAATTTACCGGACCGTTGGCCTGCGCTATCTTGTTCGATAAAGTTCCTTCGCAGAGTGCTGTGTACGAAACAGAGCTTTGAAGTTTGTAAACACTCATGGGTTGCTAAATATCTGTAGAATACCTATGCTTAATGCAGTATGCAGAATAAAATAGCATTACGCAGTGCCCAAAAGGATGAACGCACCGACTGATTACTGAACGCAGCAGTCGTACAACTGTATCTGGCTTCTGCAAAAGCCACGAGGTATTTACTTGTATTCGGCCGTCAGACATGCTGCTCACGAAAAGGGTCAAAACCACGCATGCACGTTGGGTACAAACGTAGGTCTATTCTAACAATGGCCCAGTGTACGATTTTTTTGCAAATTTACAGTGGAACCTCCGTTAGCGTACATTTTCTTAAAGCGGCCAACTCGGAGTCTCGAATAACGTTTTCCGTATCGTCACTATCGTGTATGTATGCGCCTTCTCTTTAATACAGATAGTTAGTCTGCCGCAGAATTTCGGCAGAAATGTTTTGGCGAATGGTATACAGATAGTTTCACTTACTTACAGCGGATCTCCGTCAGCTGGACAACTGCGCTCCGACGATTGTAACTTTGCATCCCTTATTGGCTGCGTCAAAAAGTGAGACAGGTATTATATAGGTCTTTGCATCGGTTTCAGTTCCTTCGGTATAAAATCTGGTAATAATGCTGCTGGATAGCTCACCCCAAAAGCAGACTTTTTATCCTGATCCTGATTACGAAAATTGCAAGCATTTTTTAGTGGCAAGGTAATCCACGACGTGACCTTTGTACCCTGGCTGGTTGGTTCAACTCGTGCCAAGGAAGAAGAAAAGGCATTGTGCAGAGAAACGCTTTCGCATCTTAACTCGTGGTGGAAATTCTTAAAATGGTGTTGCTGGCTTCGCACATACATATTAACTCTTTACTCGAATTACCTCGACAGAAAAACTGTAAATCAAGATTGACGAGAACGAATTCATGGGCAGTTGTATCTGCTCCAGATGAACGGATCCCATTGCACAGTACCAATTTGGTAAATCCAGTCGCCATACAGTCAATGGCACCGTTCCCGAGAGCGGACTATTTCTTAGGAGAGGAGTGTAGCGAATTGGGCCGTGGTTAGCCATTATAAATATGAAGAATTATTGGTAAGTTGTATCCCGGCAACTCTAATTGGTGACCAGCGACAGTAGCACATGCCTTTGCGGAAATCATTCTGAAAGCCCGTGAAATCGGCCTAGTGGTGAACGAGGCAAAGTGCGAGCTTCATATTTCCGGTGGAACCGAAGAAGCCCGAAACGATGCTGTAGCATATTTCCAGGAGATGTACCCGAAACTACGCATCCTGAGAAATGCCGACTTTCTGTTGTTAGGTGCACCGGTTTTGGACGATGCCATCGGTCCAGCTGTAGCCGAAAAGTGCGCAACAGTTAAAATGGCGTGTGAGCGGTTAGAGCTTTTGCCACGTCACCAGTCACTCTTCCTACTCAAAAACTGTCTAGGGGCCCCAAAAATCATTCATATGCTGCGCTGTTGCAATGCATGGAAACAACCGCAACAACTCTATCAACTGGATGAAGCAGTGCGGGTGTGTTTTCAGTCCCTGTGCAATGTACGCACGTCGCACGACGACTATCCGTGTTGGCGGCAGGCGACACTACCAGTGAGCAGAGGCGGTATTGGTATACGCCGGGCGGAAGAATTAGCTCTCCCTGCCTTTTTGGCATCGATTCACTCCGTATCTGGCTTAATATCACTATTGCTTCCTGATCACTCTACTGTAAATGTTTCGGCCGCTTCTGAGTTGTGGAAAGTCAACGCGCGACTGGCAGAACTCCCGGAGCAAAATGTCAGAAAGGTACAACGAGCATGGGACCTTCCGCTATGTAACACATCACTATCCACCCTGTTGGACATCTTTCGCGATGATGAAGTTAACCGGGCCCGGCTCCTCGCACAGTCGACACCGGAAGCCGGCATATGGTTAAATGCCTTGCCCTCGGCACACATCGGCAACCTCCTGGACGATGACACCGTGAAGATATCAGTCGGCCTGAGACTGGGGGTGAATATCTGTGAAGCGCACTTATGTTCTAAGTGCCACAAGCCCGTCGATGTGTATGGCCACCACGGATTGTCCTGTGCTTTCTCAGCCGGAAGACATCCACGCCACGGCGGCTTGAATAGTATTTTGTGCAGATCGTTAGTATCAGCCGGCATCCCTGCAAAATTGGAACCGCGAGGTACATCCCACACATCGGACCGTCGCCCAGATGGCTGCACCACGTTTGCGTGGCAACGCGGTATGTGTTTGGCGTGGGACGTGACCTGCGTGGATACTGTTGCTATGTCTCACCGGAAAGCCACATCAGTCACTGCGGGATCCGCCGCCGCGCAGGCGGAGGATAGAAAGGCGGGACTGTACTTGTACCTACAGGGCAGATACATCTTCGTACCGCTGGCTTTTGAAACTCTTGGACCATGGGGAAAATCAGCTAGCCGTTTAGTGAAGGAAATTGGCAAGCGATTACAACAGCATACGGGTGAGCCTCGCTCCCATGAGTACCTCCGTCAACGTCTGTCGCTGGAAATTCAGCGAGGCAACGCTGCTTCCGTTCTCGGTACAATGGAAGGAGCGGCAGCATTAAATGAAATTTTGTTATTTTGATTTACTGTTTCAAAACTGTGATGTTACCGCATTTTGTGAAATAAAAAATACCCATTGGTGACTAAAGAGCGGGTGGGATCATGAATACCAAAATTTTCTGGGATTAAAGGAAACATATGAAAGGACATAAATCAGGAAATGTATGAAACATAAAATGGAGAGTCTAACTTGAAAATAAAAACATCCAAAATTATGCCCTGATGTTGCAGCCATACAGTCCGAAATTATGGGCAACTAAATTATTCAGTCCAGTAATATGTAGTAACAGTTGAAGTTGGAACACGTTCAGTCCTTCAAGCAATCGCCACCTGCACAGAGTATGGGGGTTTATCGCAGTCATCCAATTTCCGATTGCGCACCAGAGCATTGTGCGGCCAGAGGTGACGGGAATGGAGCCATTGGGAGCTGACTGTGCTGGCATCGAAATTAATGAAGAAGTAATCGCCGTCAATATCCTGCACGTATCTCAGCCACCATTGACCGGAGTCGCGGTGCACCAACACCGTGTTCCCGTAATTCACCTCACGCGCAACCGTAGGGAAATTGCGATAATACTTGGATGTTCCGCTCATGGCGATGTGCGATCCGTGGCTTTAGTGATATCGAATTGGCTTAGGTAACAGTAATTAGGTGATCAGTCCTGCGATAACCAATGGTGCTGTACAGCCTGTACTTATCCAGCTAAGCAATACATAGTGCATAATCACTGCATATTAATTTTATCAGCTCCTAGCAGCAGTATGATTCCTTTGAAATGAACTCGTGATAAAACAGGATGTTGGAATAAATTTGATAACTATAATTACTTGAGCCAAGACAGGGACGAGACCGAGTGCGGAAAAGGTCATCTGGTGCTCCGGTTTACATACGCGATATCAAGGATCTTTGACTTAGTCATCAATCAATGATTTTCAAAAGCCTACCTTGTTGATATGTGAAAATTGACCCTCAGACTATGTCGAACGTACAATTATATCCGGAGTTACACCATCGCTTTTTCATTTACAACTGTATGAGTATTGTAAACATGTCATAGTTATGTCGGCCAGTACACTCATAAATAAATATGTATTTGTTCGAAGATGTTACGGGCACTTTGCCGTCACGAAGCCTTCGTGTTTCACTGTTGGCCTGTTATGACTGTCATGTTTTTATTTTGGATTTTCTTTCTTTAGAGCCCGTATGATCGTATCTAAATCGTGTCCGGAGTAAATCATATACTGTAGCGGCTCGATCAAGTGGCACCACAGAGTTATAGTACGGGAAAACAGCACAAATGCAGCGTGTGCATGCTCATGCGCTCGCAAGCACGAGCAGTGCACACTTTGCAAGTGCTGATTCCCTGTACATGTAGTATACTGTACCTAACAACGTACGATTCTGTGACTTCGTTTAGCTGTATAGAGTTTCTGCTGTCAGTTACGATCAGAGGAAAATAATAAATCTAGAACCTTCAATACATTACTGTACACAAACTCAGTGGTGCCACTTGATCGAGCCGCTGCAGTATCTTTTATATGGTTGACGCATTGTGAAAGCATACGCACATACCGTAGTAAAGGCTGCAATACGGGCCGCATTTTTCTACGGCTAATTTGCTGATCAGGCTGTACTGCAGATAAACTTATAATCTGCGCGATAGTGTTATCGTTTGAAAAATTACTTAACATGTACTGCTTTTGTTTCACAACTGTATACAAATGGAAAAGCCGATTTCCTGTTACAGCTTGGTTACTGCGTTGCTTCCGGTGATAAAAAAAATTTAATTTCGTTTGCGATTTTCAGTTAATTGCATTTTTTTCGCTGTGAGCGCGATGGAATCCATAGGTGCTAGCCAATCGGATGAGCTTGAAATCGAAACGTTCGGCAGCAGTTGCCAGTATAATTATTTGCCTTATGACTTTATAGGGAGAGGAGCATTTGGTGTTGTGTACAATGCCAAGGTTACAGAACGCGGCAATTATACTGGAAGCGATATGGTGGCTGTCAAGACAGTTCACCTCGATGCTCGACACGACATCGTCTCGAACCCAGGAACCTGGGCAAAAACGATGATAAGACTAAAAACGTTGCTGGAATTAGCTCACGAAAATCTTGTTGTGTGTCATCAAGTCCGAATTATTAAATCAGGTGGCGGAACTACGGTCGAAATAATGATGGAGCGTTGTCACAGTAAGCCTGTTAATATTACAGAATACATCACTTCCACATACAGAATTTCATATTTAGGTGATCTCACATTTTTCCTTAAAGATGCAAAGAAAATCATTCCCCCCTATGGGATACACAAAAACATTTACATCGAGTGCTGTTGCAAACAAATAACAGCCGGATTAAACTTCTTGCATCAGCAGAAAATAATACACGGAGATTTGAAACCTGCGAATGTTTTAGTGAAGACTTGTCTAACGGAAATAAAATACTTTTAATCGGTGACTTGGATGATTTAGTTCCCATGCACGAAAGCGTCACCTGCTCCGGCGATATATCGCATCTGCGTGGCACCGTGCGCTACATGTCGCCAGAAATGCTGAAGAAATTCTGCCTATTTGTAGCAGAAACTCCAGGGCGGATGACTGATATTTGGAGCTTGGGATGTATTATGCTGGATATAGCCGAATGCTTTTCTAGCAGCAAGACAGATGAAAAGCTGCTCCAAAAGGATGGGAATCCGATAAATCTGAGCAATAATATTTCAAATCTCCGATTTGCCGAGTTCATAATGAATGGCTTTGTGCCGTTTGTAAGCGACGAAATACCGGGAAAGTTAGCGGCCTGTATTCGGCTTTGCTTACAAGAAAGTCCCAGTTCCAGGATATCTGCCGAGACGCTGCTGCAGGAATTCTCGGTATCGAACGTCATTGAATTTGATAACGGCACACCTGTTCAACGTGCTGACGTTGCAATTGTTTTAATGAACTGGAGTGCACAGCCGGGCACTGTTAAGGCGGTAAAATATGACCCGGTGACAAGCCGAATTCGAGCTCTTGAAATTCCTATACCCGTTGGCATGCAGCTTATCTTTCCGCAGTTAACATTGCCGAACAGAGAAATAGTATTTCAAGCTGGCCATGGGGACAGTGAAGATAAACTGTTTAACATCTGGAAGGTATCGACTGGCACATGGCGTTCATTCTGGGCGAAAAAAACCGCCGAGTATGCAGCATCGTCACCTTGCTGCAGTCCAGTTGTAACCAGAGACACGATCTATTATTTTCAAAATAACAACTCGGATGACTACCGCTTGGTGGCGAGAGACCTACGCAGAGGCCATATTAAGTTCTTCAGACCAGTTGAAGGGTGAGCAACTCAAAAGTTATATACTTCTTCATATTAGACTGTCACGTAACCTGGAAGCAGCAGAAGGAAGACGTAGTTCGCATTTGCTCTGGCTGATCCGAGTTTGACATCGTTTTCATTGCAGCTGGAACGTTGAGGCAATAGCTGAATTCGAAAAGAAGATCTTATATGCCCATCACAAAGGGACTGCCGAATTCTCCGAGCTGGATCTCTATGATCCCATGGAGAACAGTTGGACATCCTTACCACAACTTTCACAGCAGCGAATTGGATTTAGTATGGCTGTCGTGGGCGGACATGTTTACATTCTTGGAGGAACGTTGAAACAGGCGGCAACAGCTTCATGTGTCCGCTTAAACATAAGCACTTCCACGTGGGTCGATATCCACTCCTTGCAAAAACCGCGGCATCGACATTCGGCTTGCGTTGTAAACGAAAGGATATACGTCTGCGGCGGTAAAAATGCAGCAGGCGAGGTTGAATATTCAATGGAAGTTTACGATACCACCCGCGACGGACCGTGGTCCACTGTCGCACTAACCACACACGATGAGAATCTCCTGCGAAGCACGATCCTTGACGTTGAAGATTCTGTGATAGGCATATCTATAGCTCATTAATATTACCATGCTTGATAGTGATATTCTTCAGCTGCGTGTATAAGATTTTGTTTCTCTGTCTTCTGTTATGTCATGCTTCAATATTCATGATCCAGAGGTGCACTTGCAAAATTAATGCCGTCATTTTCCTGTTCAAAAAAATTACCAGGTAGTACCGGTATTGCCTGCGGTTATTCTTGAAATGCTGGTCCATGTTGCATCAGGCAAGCTTTATGAGCGGCTATGTATAATAATTCTGCACTGCTGCGACACGAGTTTTTATAAATTACTAGTGCAACCTGTTATAGCACAGTGCAGGGAAAACAATTGAACAACATTCACAGTCTGTGAATGGTATCTGGGAATCACAAACAGTCAAACACAGTTCATGAATACTGTGAATTCAGGCGCCAAACCTGTTCTTGATCTACGGAGTATCTTAGTACAGAGCATAGTGTTAGAGTTTGATGTTTCGTCGAAACCAATCAATGCAATCTTGGTCGTTTCCCTTGTATTCCTATCAGCAGAATTGTTGCTTTATTGGTTACCGAATTCTACATGCCAACATGATCAACATGACACAGTCTCACTCAGTTATCCACAGCGCCGGCCGTCGAGTATCCCGCCGGCAAACGTATCGGCGGCTTCATGAGACCGTGCCCGAACTGGCGCTGACGGCAATTCACCTGCAGGCTGCAGCACACCGGTACCGGCGCCCAGCACCTGCATCTGGCGCGCGCCGACCGTCACAACGCCTTCGCCGTAGTCTTCCGCACTCCGCCCCGCGACAACACCGGTGTGGCTCATGTCCTGCAGCACATGGCGCTCTGCGGATCGCGTCGCTTTCCCCTACGCCGTGCGCTCTTTTCATATGCACAACCGCTCCTGTGCCACTTACATGGACGCATCCACCAAGAGCGACCATACCGTGTATGCCTTTCCACGCGCAACAGGAACGACTTCGACAATCTTCGCGATGTCCACCTGGATGCCGCCTTCTTCCCCACTCTCCGAGATGTCGATTTTCGGTCAGTTATTGCTGTAGTGTACTAAGTCACTGTATAATATTACTGCTAATTTGCGTAAGAGAAATTTTGACGTGATATGACGTGACGTATTTGACGTGACGTGACGTATTTTGACGATATGACGTCCGTTTCTGACATTAATGATCGGCACGCGTATTCCTTTGGTTCGCAGTATGCCTAGAACCGTCGACAAAATTCTTAAGAGATCAAGCATCGCGTACGCGTATCGCGTATCCAGTAAGGCCAGCGTTCGAGTGTCACTAGTGATGAAGCGGTCCAACAGGGCCACCAAGGTGTAGCTGCTCCAGTCACATGTTGCTCCTGATTTTCCACGACTTCCCTGAGAGCCGCACAGTCGGGGGTGGTGACCACGATGTGCCGCTTGCATACGTAGTCCTGCCGAAGCTGTGTCCACAGCGCGCACACTCTGATAAACAAAGTCAACAGTTACACGTAGTACGGACTACGGAGTTGTAAAAACCTTGGCTGGCCAAACAATCATGGAGTTCTGTTACAGAAAGTCAGGACAAACTAAGGGCCTGTTTGACAAACAGGTTTAGGGCACGCAAAAGTCTGACAGTGACTTGCTAGTACAGAAATACATTGTAGCTTGCTAGTACAGAGTTTTTCCCATTAAATTCTTAATTCACCAAATTCTAGCAGCCAGATGTTGCACGCATGAGCGGTTTCTCAGCGAAAGTGCAACTGTGACATTAGAAGGCAGAAAACGATATATGAAGGCGCTTCCATGAACCCGCCAATTTTCCTTACTAAATCAATGCATTCTTAGACAAAGATGACTTACCGCTTAAATCGGGCGAGTGCACGGACATCCAGATTGCTCAGAATGGATGTTAGGATAGGATATGGAAGTCCGTTTATCGAGGTACCCTCATCATCTGCCGAAAATGCTTCCCAGTAAAATTTAATCTTGGCTCTGTATTAATTTATGATGTAGCTTTAGAAATGCTAATTTGCATGAATATAAGACAGGTGCGGTAAGAACGTACGGCAAATCATTAATTTCGCTGTTAAAGTTGTACATGAGACACTAACCGTAATCCAGAGCAGCCGCTGGTGCAGCCACTGTAATAATCGGCTGTTTCCGCGCTTGCGTAGCGAGATGGTGCTGGCATGCTTTCTTTAAGGAATCTTCATCCCAGAACATTCTGCGACCGTCGGCGTCACCATGCATTTCGGCGCACACGAACGTAACCAAATCCATTGCCACTCGCACATAGAACCGACAACCAACATTAATTTCATATTTACCATTCCGATGCCGGTGCTCCCCGGAACAAAAGAACCTTATGTGGTCCGGCGAGGATCGCTCCCCTTGAAAGCGACAGTCATTGTTGCACACATCGAGGCCACTGCTAAACGCTAACCGACATTTGAATGCCAAACTCAACCAAAAGCTATCCAGTGGTAATAACTCACTCGCCTGCTCGAAGTGAATAACATGCTTAGCGTACGAAAATCCTGCGACTCTGTCAAAAAAATTCAGTCCATCATCGGGCTCTGGAAACTGTCTGGCAAGCTGGGCCCAGTGCACAATGTCAACGGGATTTCCATCATTCAGGCTGACAGTGCAGAATAAATTGCTGTACTTTGTGATTGCGCTGTCCGTGTGGATGATGGTACCCGGCCGGAAAACCAACGGTCCACCGTCAAAATTTCGCAGCGCCACCACCACGTAGTCCGAAGGTTTATCGCAGTGTTGCGATTCCTGGCCGCGCCCTAGAAAATGGTGCGGCCATAGGCGACGGGAGTGGATCCAATCGGAGCTGATGGTACTGGCATCGAAATTAATGAAGAAGTAATCTCCGTCAATATCCTGCACGTATCCCAGCCACTACTGACCGGTATCGCGCTGCACCAACACCGTGTTCCCGAAATTCAACTCACGCGCATCCGTAGGGAAATTTCGATAATACAGGGATGCTGCACTCATGGCGATGCTTATGCCGTGGCGTTAATGATAAGGTTATTGATACCGCACTTCGGTAATAGCAGTAATTAGGTGATTAATCCTACGATCACCGATAACCGATGTGCCTTTCGTGGTGGTGATGTTCTTACTTGACTGCAGGGTCTACACCTACTATATGCAGTAATGCATATTTATCAGCTGTTAGCAGCGCTACAGCGGTGCGATTCCATATTTTTTGAAATGAACTTTTGACAAGCTTTGTCTTGACAGATCTTAGAACAGAACTTAACTGTAAGGACGGGCCTAAGTCGAGGTTACGACAAGGAGGCAGAAAAAGAACGTTTGGCGCTCCGGTTTACATACAATGAATTAGGGTTGTCATCCCACCCTGATTTTTGAGGTGGGATGTGATGGGATTGTGAACGTGAAGTGATGGGAATAGTGGGATTGGTGGGACGAAAATAAAATGAATTATATTTCGGAAAAGAATTATTTTAATGTTTTCATAAAGTATAAATGTTGTAAAGACAGTTATCTTAATTGAGAAAGGCATTATCAATCAAATCAAATGGGCTGTGGTGGAAGTGGCGTAGCGTACCGTAATGACAAAAATGATAAAGGCCTTTCTTATAAAGTTGTCCCCTGGCACCGCTCGCCTGATTTTTAAAGGAAGAAAAGTTTGTAGCGCGCAAAAGTTATGCGGAATAACTGAAGTACAGTAAATTTTGGCACTTAAACACATATTTTCGGGTAGTGGAAAACCATCCCATCACTTCCCAATCCCATCATTCATCCCATCACATTATCACAGCCATAACTTTTCGGCATGATGGGATTGGGAACAGGAAATCGGCGTGATTGTGATAGCGTGTGATGACGTGATGACAACCCTACAATGAATCAGGATCTTTGACCCAGTCAAATAGCCTCTGTCAAAACCTTACTGAAGGGGCTTTTTGTATTACAAGTAACATGGTATTGCCTCGGTCTGCCCTTATTCATGCGTGACCTCATGCGTCTAAATCCTCAAGCTGTGCCGTATGTGCAAGCTTGTCGAGGAATCGAGGGCGTAAAGGAACAGGCAGCGCACACTTAAGACTATATTGGCGTTAGAACGATGGTCACTACACTTCAGTTATCGCGGTAACGATTATTTAAGGCAACACATCCAGTATTAACTCATCTTTTCACGGAAGTATATAGAAGTAAAACAATAAAGAAAATATAATAAATATGAATACACAAATATCTGACTTGTACCAGCCATGTCTAATTTAAAGTAAACTCGCAAAAACTATAGCGTGGCGCGCCGTACTATGGAGGTTGGCGCAACCCATAAATGTGCTTTCTTCGCTGTGTTCATGCGCCCATAATTTCTCGACAAGGCTGTACATCTGCCTCCACCGCAATTCACAGCAGTCCCCAGGAATTCAAAACGTCGCTTTTCTGTTGCAGCTGCATGAGTGTTGTTACACCTTGTCATAGTTATTTCGCGGCAATTTCGCCCAGTGCATCTACGAATAACGACGTAAATAGGGAACGCGTTCTGTGTTATGGCATTGTTGTTGCAGTGTAAAAGTATACGCTCATACAGGTCGCAAGACGAGCAGCATTTTCCTGCAGGAGATTTGCTGATAAAGCTTCATTGCAGATAAGCATTAATCTGCGCGATAATGTTATCGTTTGAAAAATTAGTCAACATGTACAGATACTGCTTTTGTTTTACGGCTGTATACGATCATACGAATAGAAAAGTCGATTTACGGGTACAGTGTGGTCACTGCGCTGATCACGGTGATACTATAAAAATTTGGTTTTCATTTTTCGGCATTTTTCCCTGTAAGTACGATGGAATCCAAAGGTGCTAGCCAAGCCGATCCGCTTGAAATCGAAACGTTCGGCAGCAGTTGCCAGTATGAATATTTGCCTTATGACTTTATAGGGAGAGGAGCATTTGGTGTTGTCTACAATGCCAAGGTTTCAGAACGCGGCAATTATACTGGAAGCGATATGGTGGCTGTCAAGACAGTTCACCTCGATGCTCGACACGACATCGTCTCGAACCCAGGAACCTGGACAAAAACGGTAACCCGACTGAAAAGGCTGCCGGAATTAGCTCATGAAAACCTGGTTGTTTGTCATCAAGTCCGAATTATTAAATCAGCTGGTGGAGCTACGGTCGAGATAATGATGGAGCGTTGTCACAGTAAGCCTGCTTGTTTTACAGAGTACTCATATCAACATAAAACCTGTAATTTTTCGTGTTATAACTCGAGTGTACAACAGCTTATGTTTAGGTGATCTCACAGTTTTCCTTAAAAAAGCAAAGGAAAACATTACCCCCTATGGGATACGCAAAGACGTTTACATCGGGCGCTATTGCAAAGAAATAACAGCAGGATTAAGCTTCTTGCATCAGCAGAAAATAATACACGGAGATCTGAAACCAGCAAATGTTTTAGTGAAAGACTTGCCTAACGGAAATAAAATGCTGTTAGTCGGTGACTTGGACGATTTAGTTCCCATGCAAGAAAGTGTCACCTGCTCCGGCGATATATCGCACCTGCGTGGCACCGTGCGCTACATGTCGCCAGAAATGCTGAAGAAATTCTGCCTATTTGGAGCAGAAACTCCAGGACGGATGACTGATATTTGGAGCTTAGGATGTATTATGCTGGAAATAGCCGAATGCTTCTCCAGTAGCAAGACAGATGAAAAGCTGCTCCAAAAGGATGGGAATCCGATAAATCTGAGCAATAATATTTCGAATCTCCGATTTGCCGAGTTCATAATGAATGGTTATGTACCGTTTGTGAGCGATGAAATACCGGGAAAGTTAGCGGCCTGTATTCGGCTTTGCTTACAAGAAAGTCCCAGTTCCAGGATATCTGCCGAGACGCTGCTGCAGGAATTCTCGGTATCGAACGTCATTGAATTTGATAACGGCACACCTGTTCAACGTGCTGACGTTGCAATTGTTTTAATGAACTGGAGTGCACAGCCGGGCACTGTTAAGGCGATAAAGTTTGACCCGGCGACAAGCCGAATTCGAGCTCTTGAAATTCCTATACCCGTTGGCATGCAGCTTATCTTTCCGCAGTTAACATTGCCGAATAGAGAAATAGTATTTCAAGCTGGCCATGGGGACAGCGAAGATAAACTGTTTAACATCTGGAAGGTATCGACTGGCACATGGCGTTCTTTTTGGGCGAAAAAAGTCGCCGAGTACGCAGCATCGTCACCTTGCTGCAGTCCAGTTGTAACCAGAGATACGATCTATTATTTTCAAAATAACAACTCGGATGACTACCACTTGGTGGCGAGAGACCTACGCAGAGGCCATATTAAGTTCATCAGACCAGTCGAAGGGTGAGCAACTCAAGTTATGGCACACCGACAACTCGCTGACGGTCATCTTGCTGACCGATAACTTGCTGACGACTATTTGCTGACCGACAAAATGTTGACCCGACAGTTAGATGAAACAACAAATCGCTGAACGACATTTTGCTGAACGACAGTTTGCTGACACCGACAATTTGCTGACGACATTTTGTTGACTGACAGAATGTTTACCCGACAACTTGCTTACTTAGTAAATTGTTGACCGACATTTTACTGACCGACGTTTTATGGAAATACCGAAGACTCGCTGACCACAAATTTAGTCTGTTACCCTCCAAATCCTTGTGAAACTCAATTTGGGTGATCGGATACCACAACCACTTCTGCTATTAACAGCTCCCGGCTTATGCAGCAATCTGACAAATCCAGTCGTCAATTTCTCCTTTTTTCAGCTCGAGCGCGCACGAGTGAATTTCATAAAACAATCTATCAAACGGAAGAAATTATGAAACCTAAGAAACCTAAGAAACCTAAGAAACCTAAGAAACCAAAGAAACCAAAGAAACCTAAGGAACCTAAGAAACCTTAGAAACCTATGATACCAATGAAACCTAAAAAACCTAAGAAACCTAAGAAACCTAAGAAAACCTAAGAAAACCTAAGAAATCTAAGAAACCTAAGAAACTTTAGAAACCTAAGAAACCTAAGGAACCTAAGAAACCTAAAAAACATTTTTAGCAGTTATTATTACATAGTTAATATTGACTGGGACAATACGCTAATGTGCGTTGGACTGGTCAGCAAATTATCGGTCAGCAAGTTTTCGCCTTCTACAAGTTGTCGGTCAGCGAGTTGTCGATTACCGACATTTAGCTGACCGACAAGTGAGCTGTCGTTCAGCAAATATTATTAGTTTCAGCAAGATGTCGGTCAGCAAGTTTGTAAATAAGCGAACTGTCGGTCAGCAGGTTGTGGTTGTCAGCAACAAGTCGGTCATCAAATTGTCGGTCAGCGAAATGAAGGTCATAGAGTTGTCGTGCTACCTCAAGGTATATACCTCTTCGTATTAGACTGTCACATAATCTGGAAGCAGCAGGAGATGGAAGACGTAGTTCGCATTTGCTTTGGCTGCTCCGAGTGTGATATCGTTTTCATTGCAGTTGGAATGTTGACGCAATAGCTGAATTCGAAAAGAAGATCGTGTATGCTCATCACAACGGGAATGCCGAATTCTCCGAGCTGGATCTCTATGATCCCATGGAGAACAGTTGGACATCCTTACCACAACTTTCACAGCAGCGAATTGGATTTAGTATGGCTGTCGTGGGCGGACATGTTTACATTCTTGGAGGAACGTTGAAACAGGCGGCAACAGCTTCATGTGTCCGCTTAAACATAAGCACTTCCACGTGGGTCGATATCCACTCCTTGCAAAAACCGCGGCATCGACATTCGGCTTGCGTTGTAAACGAAAGGATATACGTCTGTGGCGGTAAAAATGCAGCAGGCGAGGTTGAATATTCAATGGAAGTTTACGATACCACCCGCGACGGACCGTGGTCTACTGTCGAACTAGCCACACGCGATGAGAATCTCCTGCGCAGCACGATCCTTGACGTTGAAGATTCTATGATAGGCATATCTATAGCTCGTTAATATTACCCTGTTTGATAGCGATATTCTTCAGCTGCGTGTATAAGATTTTGTTTCTGTGTTTTCTATTATGTCATGCTTTAATATTCATGATCCAAGGGTGCACTTGCAAAATTAATGCCGTCATTTCCTGTTCTAAAAATTACCATGTAGTACCGGTATTGCCTGCGGTTATTCTTGAAATGCTGGTCCATGTTGCATCATGCAAGCTTTATGAGCGGTTATGTATAATAAATCTGCACTGCTGCGACATGAGTTTTTATAAATTACAAGTGCAACCTGTTATAGCACAGTGCAGGGAAAACAGTTGAACAACATTCACAGTCTGTGAATTGTAACTGCAAACAGTCAAAAACAATTCATGAATACTGTGAACTCAGACGCCAAACCTGTTCTTGATCTACTGAGTATCTGAGTACAGAGTATAGTATTAGAGTTTGATGCTTCGTCGAAACCAATCAATCAATGCAATCTTGGTCGTTTCCCTTGTATTCCTATCAGCAGAATTGTTGCTTTATTGGTTACCAAATTCTACATGCCAACATGATCGTCCCGCGTGATTATTCAGACAGGAAATAAAAGGCTGTTTGCCTGGAATCTAATTACTACCAAAACGTGTTACACGGTTAGCCAGAATGTCCGTGGTGCGGACGCTCCGCCAGCTGCCCGCTTTCCGTCTGCTGCACTGTCGAACGTGGCTTCAGCACAACCGCCTCGACCCGTACGTTCACTGGCCCAGTCGCCAGTCAAGCCAGAGCCTTACTCAGTTATCCGCAGCGCCGCTAGTCGAGTACCCCGCCGGGAAACGTATCGGCGGCTTTACGGTTCTACGCAACGAGACCGTGCCGGAGCTGGCGCTGACGGCAGTCCACTTGCTGCACGTCAGCACCGGCGCCCAGCACCTGCATCTGGCACGCGCCGACCGTCACAACGCCTTCGCCGTGGTCTTCCGCACTCCTCCCCGTGACAACACCGGTGTGGCACACATCCTGGAGCACATGGTGCTTTGCGGATCGCGCCGCTTCCCCGTGCGCCATCCTCTTGTACACATGCAGAACCGCTCGCTGGCCACCTTCATGGACACATCCACCAAGAGCGACCATACCATGTACGCCTTTTCCACGCCCAACAGGAAAGATTTTGTCAACCTCCTGGATGTCTTCCTAGATGCTACTTTCTTCCCCACTCTCAGGAAGGTCGATTTTCGGTCAGTTACTCCTGTCATGTTGTTGTTGAATCGGTTAATCACCATAAATTATTACTAGTACTGTCAAAGGTCAATCGGGATAAATAAAAATTTAATGTTTAATAACCATGCTCGTGCAGATAAGTACATATATGTAAAGAAATGTTTACAGGTACTCGTACGACTAATGAAATAACCATAATAACATTATGAACATCCAATGAACTATACTGAAGGCATCGAATTCCGAAATCGCTTTTTTCTGTAAAATTACGTATTGGATAATTATTTAATGACAATCAATGTTAATATGATTTTCGCCCTTAATAAAGGGACGAGTGATAAAACGAAAACAATATTATCGGATACCGTTACATAAAAATAGCATTACCAGACTTTCCTTTATTTAGTCTTGCCGACTGGAAATTGTGAAATTTAAAAGAAATAAAAAAAGACAAAACCGTGAACAGTTGCAGTTCATTTACCATACTGAATAAGGCACGGATAATGTTTTACCAACTGAATTGGATAATGCATGTTGTGAATGTTGTTTACCTTTGGGAATACTTTTTTGCAGGCAAGAAGGAATCCGTGTGGAGCCGTGGGATTTGTATGATCCAAGCTCGTGCCTGACCAGCTTTGCCTTCAGCGGCGTGGGTTTTATGGAGATGAAAGGTGTCTACAGAGACGCCGAAAGCCTGTACGCTCGCCGAATTCCGAACTACCTGCTGCCGTCGGGGACGTACGGCTTCGATAGTCACGGCGATCCCATGGAGATGCCCCACTTGACGTGGGAGCAGTTGCGCAGCTTTCACGCGGCCTACTACCATCCCACGAATGCCCGCTTCTTCAGTTACGGCAACATACCATTGGAGAGCCACTTGGACTTCGTGGAGACCGCTGTGCTACGCCATTATGATAAACAGCCCATCGATAGCCAGGTCCCGCCAGAGCCGCGCTGGGCACAGCCCCGGGAAGTAACCTTTCCCGGTAACTCAACAGTTAGAAATGAAAATTCAATATATTCATGTGGAACAACCTTGTTAAAATGAAATACGTTAAAATTAATTACGAGTATACAATCATTCAAAGATACGAATATCTGCTCTCCTGCGTGCAGAGAAATAAAAGTCGTGTTTATAAATTACTAGCCCTTGGTATGCATAGGATGTACGAGTACAAGATATGTGTATAAGATATTTGAGATGTATGAGATATGTGTCATGTACACTTTTAGACATGCTTTATAAAAAAATAATGAATTCTCTTTCGATTTTCGTTTTTCTTAATAAAACCGAATATGGGTTAACATTCACTTTAAACCGAATTAAATTAGTTCTACGTAGAAGGAACAGGAGAAAATTGAAAGACGAAGAATAAAAAGCCTCGTTTAAATTGAAGTACTGTTTGAGTGTACCACTGTACACTGTGCTGGTGAGCGTTTTGTAGGTCCCGTAAATTCGTTGGCGCCGGTTAACAAAAACGTGACGGTATCCGTATCGTATTTATGGCCGGACGTGCGGGACCCTCTCGAAACGTCATGCATAGCCCTGCTGGGAAAACTTCTCCTAAGCGGGCCGCAAGCGCCTTTTCAGGCCACGTTACTGCAGAGTAAGCTGGGTGCCGATTACTCACCGGGAACGGGAAATCATCTCGACGCCGTACGGGAAGGCTTCTTCAGTGTCGGCTTAAAGGTACGAATGATTACAGTACGAGGATGCGCGCAGTCGAACCGACAGTAAGTTTTTTCAGCGACACCAACCGACAACCACGCACACAAGCAGAATATTTTTTCACATTATAGCCGCCCGTGGATGGGAGGTACCGTTTGCACTGTATGCGTAGTACAGATGACAGCCATCCGTGGATGGTTGGCATTCGCTTGCACTATGTGCGCGGTTGTCGGTTGGTCTAGCTTAAAAAATTTACTGTCGGTTTGACTGCGTGCATCCTCGTATACGTATAAATCATCAAGCATTTTATGAATTGTGGTAAGTTGTATGGATGTGTGTCCTCATGAGGCAGCTGTGTTCGGTGTGCAGAACGTTGCGGAGGAAGATACACAAAAGATTATCTGTACTATTCGCTCGACAATCGACAGCGTCGTGAAGACAGGATTCAAGGCGGAACACGTGCAGGCTATCCTCCACGAGGTGGAGCTATGCCTGCCCCCAGTTGAGAAGACTTTCGGGCAGAACCTGCTACGCAGCCTGATACCGCTTTGCAACCATGACGCCGACCCCATCGACCACCTTCAAATCACCCTGCTCTTCGATCGGTTCCGCCAGGCGATGGCCGGCGATCCAGAATACCTGCAAAAAAAGGTTAAAGCGTATTTGCAGGTCAGTTAATTTACTTATGCTATAAATTGTGGTTTGGGGCGGGCCATCGCTCCCAAATTATTAGGCTTATTAGTATAAATTATGTATAAATATGTATAAGTTTAAATTATTTTTTTCTTAAATGACACAGAATTCAGATCGAATAAAAGACAGCTTTATTGCATTTGAGTATTACAGTGCGCAGGTCACTGCACACAGTAGCTGAAGCCTGAAGCCCAGAAGTGAGAAGCGGCTAATGCCGCAGCAGTAAATTGTATTTCAAAAAACGGACATTTGAATCTTAAAAGGATTATTCATTTACCAATAACGAGGACGAAAAAAACCCTTTAGGCTGCTGCAGGTGTCTAATTTTAAGCTGGAGTTTTTCTGTACAGGACAATGCGCACAACGTGACGCTGATAATGAAGGCAGATGCGGCGTACGGCGAGCACATGAGGGAGAAGGAAGGCCGATTGTTGGGGGAAAAGCTGTCGGTAAGCAATCCACCGCGGAGCTTGGTGCGTCGGGTAGGAGTGTTATCCCAAGCCAAGGAGTTGGAGGACGACCAGAAGAAGGTCCAGGACGTGTCCGTGCTCCCCACGTTGAAACTCTCGGATATCGAGCCGACGCTGCCGCGTGCCAGCATCCGGGAAATTAATGTGGAAAATACGCCGATATTCTGTGTGTCGGCGCCCACCAGTGGTAAGACAGCACAAATACCTACGCCATATATTGGTTGAGAAAAACAAAACCTAAACTATTTTGCACAGTTATTCCGTACTGTAATTGTTTTAATTGAAACGCCTGCTATCATGGTAAAATAGTTTATATACAACTGAGAACAAAGTTGCCTGTTGATTTGATCTTATGTTGAAACAAGTTTTTTTGGAAATATCGCACCTGATTCTGCTTTGTTGAGTATGTTTAGGTGTGCGTCAATTTGCAGGCATGACATATTTTCGCGCGCTGATTTCGACGGAAGGTCTGCCCGCTGAACTGCGCCCGTACGTGCCGTTGTTCTGTTGGATCGTTACGAGCATGGGCGCCGGCGAACTGGACTATCGCCAGCTTAGTCAACGCATTGAACTGACGACCGGTGGTCTGTCGGCGGCATTTCACGCCGCCCAGCGCTTCCCTTCTACAGGCAAGTACGAACAGGGCATCATCCTCTCCTCCCACTGTCTGGACCGCAACATCCCCGCCATGTTCGCGTTGTGGAAAGACATTTTCACCCGCCTCTGTCTGCAAGACTTGCACCACTTTGCAGTGCTGCTCAGGCAGATGCGCGACGAAACGATCGCCAGTCTCACCGGTAAGTTATTCGCGGTGCGCCTTAAGAACGGTAATTTAGCTTATTATAATAACAAGGAATTTATGGTTTTCGTGCATCGAGGTCAAGCCGTTTCGCACCGTTCCATGGAACAGCTGAACAGCTGACAAATTCAACGGCAGTCACAGTATATACTGTAATCGGCTTGATAACAACCGCGCGATCACATCTGGCGGGAAGAAAGCGTAACAACATAGAATTATAGCCGACGCGGTTGTGTTGTAATAATTATGCAGCTCTGAATTCACAACTTTGCAATTTACTGTTTCTTATACTCCGTATATTTTGAATATTTCTTGTAACTCAGTAACTGATGACTGGTAGCGTTTTTAGCTGGTGGTTACTGGTTGTGGCTGTGACTCTCATGATATTTTGTACAGGCGACCGCGGGTACTGGTACGCCGTCTCATATCAGGCTTCGCAACTGCAGTCCGTTGCGTGCCTGCGCGAAGAATGGACTGGTTTGCAGCAGATTCGTTTTCTGCGCCACCTGGTTGAATCCGGCGATCTGCGACCGACTCTCGAGAAACTGCGGCTTATTGCCAAACATGTCTTGACCAAAGACCGGATGTGTTGCTCGCTGAACACCACGCCGGAAATCATGAAAACGGCTATGGGCGAATTAGGTACCTACAAGCACATGAATATCTGCCATAGTGCGAGTTGGCTTCGCGTACCGCTTGATTCGCTTATAATTTGAGACTCACTCTAAGTCATCAGGCAAAAACACTTTCCCTAAAGCACCGAAGAAATCGTCTTCGCTGAGCTTTGACAGTTGACATAAGTCTCCGAATAAGCATGTTGTATGTACTATGTTGTACTCCTTTTAAGTCTAGGACACTGGTTAAGGTGACGTTTTGTGCAGGCGAATTTCTATCAGTGGTGGACGGTAACGGCAGACATCAGCCATTGGTACCGGAGGCGACCTTCGAACCGAGAGGCGGCCAGTGCACTTACGTAACCTTTCCATTCGAGATGCACTGTGCTTCCAAGTCCTGCCCGGTAGTACCGTTCGATCATGCCGATTACCCCGCCCTGCGTGTGCTGGCCCATCTGCTCACTGCCAAGCTTCGCTGTAATGAGATCCATGAGAACTGCGACAGAGCCTGGCTGGCGCACGATGGCTTGTTTCACTTTTATTCCTATCGAAATCCCAACTGCGTGCAACGTTTCGAGGTAATGAACAAAACTACCTATGTTCAAACACGTTGTGTTGCGTGTTGCCTTAAAGAATGGAAATAAACTTCAGAAAAAAATTAAGTAGTAAGATACCGAGCAATACAAATTCAACAACAGAAAAAAACACAAATATGTACCCGCTGAAAGCAGAAAATTCTGTAAGTGACAGAAAACGCTGCTGTTCAATGTGGGCATTCCCTAGGCGTTCAAGCGGTCAGTGGAATGGGCCAGTAACGGTGAGTTCAGTGACCAGGACGTGGAGGATTCCAAGCTGCGCATCTTCGGCGAAGTAGACGATCTGTGGCCCCCCAGCGATGAGGGCCGGAATCAGTTCCTCTACTCCATGAGCGACGAAATGTACCAGTGTCACCGCGAAGAGCTGCTGGCTGTGACCAGAAAGCAGTTGGTGCTGGCGACCAGCAAGTACTTAGGGGACGACCAGCAGGCCGTGTCGACGCTCTTCGGGCCGGCGGATGCCGTGGTGGAGAAGCAGGGATGGAGGGTGGTGAGCAGCGGCGTGGGGTAGACTGAGAAGCAAAGAGTGGTCTTACGTAGCCGTCGCCAGAGGAAGCGAATTAATTCAAATCGCTGCTTGTGCTTTCGTTTAGTTGTATGTTCGTGCATTAAAGGCTGCTTTTTTTTTCCTTTTTCATTTGAGCTTATAATTGTTAACCGTAGTTGTTGAATCCAGAGCTGTTATGCTAACCGTAAGACGTTAATTACGTAAATCATTGCTAAAGGTTTATTGATTGAAACCGTTTGCTATGAGCCTATGGCTAGCAGATTAATTCGTGCCGCTGTGACAGCGGCACGAATTGCATGCGAGTAGCGAAACACAACATTGGTCCATCACGTCATGTCAGGCATTGTCAGCCCGTTCATACCAGCTACACAGCCGCAAACAGTCACGCAATCGTAAAATGGTTTACCAGTCTTGTTATATCCACCCTACAGCCTTCTTCCTCCTGGCTCTGAATTGTTTCACCAGTTTAACGTACACCTAATGATGTCATCGGAACATATTGTTGATAATTTCAACGATGATATCTTTCTACACAAAGCGAAGCACACACGTGCAGGGTAAACAGGTCATTGGCGGTGTACAATCATCTCTGTCAGCGGTTAATTAATTGTCCTTGGAGATACAGCGGGAATCGCGGATTCAGTTATAGGGACAATGGATGCAGTTGAAAAGTTTGATGAAATCTTTCTGTTGTGACATTGAAACGCTTTGACTGTTTGGTTGACTTATACATGTTTATTGATTTGTACTTTGCAGTCGTTTACATACCCATAAAACACCATTTCTCATACAACAGCACACAGTACAGCTTGTCACCGAAAACAATTCTTCGAACAGTTTCCAAATACTGTATAATAAAACTGATGGTACACTATTTATAACATTTTCACAAAAAGCGCAGTACAACACTTCCTATATGCTCATATCAGACGAGACAATGTAGGCCATCACGACGGCCTCGGTTTCAGCGGGACAAACCTGCAGGTGTTGTTAGTATGACCGCTTTTACAAAAAATCAAAAAGCAATTGAGTGTTTCCAGTATTCAGCAACGCCTTCCGGGAGAAGGTTCCGCCGCGGGATGCTCGATAATCAGAAATCAGAATCATCGCTACTAGTGCACATCAACCCGCTTGTGGCAAGCATCGCAGCATATGGCCGGTCAGTCGGATTAAATTGCAAACACGTTGTAACGAAGCTTCGTATATTGCTCGGTATCCAGTTTGGAATTTCCGGCAGGCTTTTTGTGGTATGCAGATGATAAAGGACAGCCATTTCCAACTTGATAGGCTTGTCTTTATAGCGCCTTTATACAACGGAGGTTGACCACTGGCCAGATGCAGTGCACTACACCCGAGACTCCATGTATCACCATTGCGTCCGGTGTGCAAATGGTTTTCCTTATGGGTGTCTAGAATTTCCGGTGCGACAAATCGCCCATCCTTCCCAGCACCCTGATCCCGCCCATCCTTCCCAGGACGCACCCTGATCCCGCTTTTATGGGAGATTTGGCCCTCCACTTCCAAATGCCGTATTGGCTTTTTTATTCCAAATCTTTCAGCTTGTTCACATCGTAACCTTATTCTTATATATTTTCCCGGTTCTGGTTTTCAGACTTCAGACGTTTATTTGCATATGCCTCCGCGATCCAAGATTTTATTCGCCGCAAGAGTGTTGGTACTTACTAATGGACTCTGGAGGATGCTTTATGCACTACTTATTCTTTTCCAATCGTATCAGGCGTGACTGTCCGTAGAAACTGTAGGTACTTTAACTAGTTGTACCCTGACACAGCCATCGAAATAAGAAAAACGACAATTTGCTTCTCGAAAGGGGTAACCCAACACCAATGCATACTACAGCTACATTTATCGCATTTAGAGCTACCTTGCATCTGTTTTCCGTTTTTCGACATTTATTAACAGGACAAGAGTCTATAAGTCAATTCCGAAATAAGCCGCTTGATTAAAATCTAACTTTAACCGGGAAAGTCTATCACAATCTCACTTTCCATATCAACAGTTACTGCGGTTAATGATCCACACCACGGATCTCTGGGCTTAATAAGTGCTGCAAAGTTTGATAGCAACTGGATATCCTTCTCCAGCAAGTTGACGGTCGACCAACCTTCGTCGCGTTTGGTATCGTAAGACTCCGTTTCGAGGGCGTGCTGTTCTGCAGCATATCTGCCACCGCAGACGTAAATGCGATCCTGGACAACGCATGCCGCATGACAGTATCTCGGTTGCGCAAGCGGCTGTATCGTTTCCCAAGCAGGATCAGGAGCATCGAGATTTAGACGAATACAGTCAGCTGTTGCACTGCGCTCCGTATTGCCACCTACAGGCTCAGCTACCTTTCCGCCAATGATATATATGTAACCATTAATGACGCCAATTGCAAAATCCCATCGCATCTCTGGCAGATTTGGTAAAGACCGCCATTCGTGGTTCTTCGTGTCGTAACGCAACAAGCAATCCCAGGTAGCATAGAATATGTGCTGGTCACATTTTGCCACGGCAGTTAGATCATGACTACAATAGAAAAGCTTTATTAAAATCGTTTACACTCGTGTATCTATACCGTATCACTCGACTAGAACCGTATAAAAGCTGTTGAAAAAATGGAAATATTAAGCATAAAAAGGGCGTTTTGCCTTACTGATAAGCTTTCCGAGGCGGAGGTGCCTTCAGCGAGACAATCCTGCCAGTAAAAGCATTCATTTCCACAAAGGATTTCATTTTGTCCCAAAGATACACCCTGTGCTTCACTGCAATCGCTTCTTTGAATAATGACTGTCTCGAAGGCGTAATCTCACGCCATTTCCCTTCCCTCACATTCCAGAAGCGGAACACATCACTTAAACCTGCGTCAGTGTTTCCTCGTTGTACGAGCATCATTTCTGATTTCGGACCGGCTAGGACGGCGTATGGTTCCCGTACGGCTGAAGGTGATCCGGGGACTTCTTGAGTATTGAAGGAACTGGTGGACGGATCAAATATCAGCACCTGATCGATGTTATGACCGGGGTGAGCAAAAAACACCACAACCGGCTTCTTTTGTATCTTGAAGATGCGTACGAGCGCGTCTGCGGATATTCTGTCAGCATCAGCTCGACACAAGCATTGCTGAATGACCCGCGCCAAGCTTTCTTCAATTTCGCCATCCACGAACGGCGCATAACCGTCAACGATCAGATGGGCATAGCCGGTACTACTTACATCGCTTCCAACCTCCACAACTTTTCCATCCAGTATGACGCGCTTTCTGGGAACGTTGATCAAACTTTCAGCCATCTCCAGGATTATGCAGCCAAGACTCCAGATATCTGTTTTTCTTCCTGGTACATCTAGCGTTTCTCGAAACAATTTATTCAGCTTTTCCGGTGACATGTAGCGTATCGTGCCACGACGGTGCGACGTATCCGAGGAACAAGCGTGGCTTAGCTTCATTTGCATTACATCGAAAAAATCACTGATTAGAAGCTTTTCGCGGTCGTTTTCAGTGATTTTCACAAGGATATTTTTTGGCTTTAAATCTCCATGGATTATTCCATTTTTATGGAGGAACTCCAATCCACGAGCAATGTGCAGAGTGAATTTCATGATCTTTCTACAGGTATAATTACTTCGTAGCTCTGCATTTTTCTTTGTTGCTTTAAGGAAACCAGCAAGGTCACCTAAAAAATGCTCGTACGCGTAATAACAAGTGGAGTTACAAACCTGAACAAAATAAGTAATTCACACCTAACAAGACATCTTCAGAATACTAACATTAGAATACTAAAGTTAAAGGAGAAAGTTAGAATACTAACACTAGAGCAAAACCTGTGACTCGATCTCTCGCATCAAGTGAAAAAAATATGATGTGTACACTGGACGCTTATTAAAAAAAAGGGAGGGTGGCAAATAGTGAACACTTGTGCAAAGTGAACACTGAAAAAATTAACTGGAACGGATCTAATAATCCAGACTTCCTGGAAGTGAACAGATTGAAAAAACCAGTTCCAGGAACGAAGAAACACAGAGAAATCCCTTGGGTGCTCGGCAACTGGAATGGTCCATGAATCGCACCCACGGCTATACATCGCAATGCCCGTAAAAGTTCAAAATACAGTAGAAATTCCGTACCTTGAACACGAAGGGTTCACAAATTCTAGTTCAATGTAGCCGTATGATTGATGTACAGAATAGCAATCCCCAAGAAACCGCTCCTAGTGGCATTTGTTTATGATAAATGAGAGCCCCCACCCTTGAACGCTTGCGGGCCTGAGAGGGGCCCTCAACAAATTTATGTGCCTGTTTTGGGCTTGCTAAATCTAAGACTCTGACGTGTTAAAGTTGTTTGAGAAATGAATTCTAGTCTGTTTAGCACACTATGGTAATAAATTGGGGGTTTGGTCAACTGAAAGATCTGTTTTTTTTCATTCACCTTTATGGTAGTCCATTGCCAGCTCGATCATCGCTCCACCGGTAGACATGGTGACGGAAACTTTATGATAGGCCACGAGGTGCTTGTTAGTAAGTTCAATGAACTTTCTCAATTTTGTCAAGACATTCCTCCAGCTTTCTTTTTCATCAGCATCCAAAGAATCATTTGGGACGTGCATCAGTTGGACAGCGACAAACTGTTCTCCCGTGTAACTGCCGCGCTTTGTAACCTTGGCTTTATAAACAAGGCCAAACGATCCATATCCTATACAGTCCGTGTGTGAATAACGGTACTGCATGTTGCTCCCAATGACTTCAGCAGTACCGTCCTTGTCAGCGGCATCCACTGGATCGTCATATTCATTTCCTTCCGTAGCGTCCACGTTGCCAGTTATTTCGACTCCGTCGTCGGTAATTTCTTCATCTGTATTGTCCGTTGCGGAAACATTGTTCTCCGTTTCTGTTAGCAGGTGTACCACTAATAAATTACCTTGCCGTTTAGCGCAACTTGGATTTCTTAACCAGCTAAGCAGCAATTTTTTAGAACATATAATAAACATACTACTGCGGCTTCAGTTGGCAATTCGAACGGCTTTCGCTATTGCGTAAGGAGAGAAGAATAAACGGAGCACTAAACTGATATGGCAACGCTACGGTATCAAGTAAACACTACGAAAGAACCCTACTCATAACCGTTTGACTGTGAGTCTGTGGTGCACCTGTAATAAACTTTGCTGCGCATAATGTGGTGCGCATCCGTTTGTTCCGGGGAAAGGGCAAGCGCAAACATAAATTTTACCACTGTGTACTATACCTACTTTTCTACTGATGATACCAACTGTCTTACTTGAAGGCTGATGCACATCACCGACATCAGTATCCTTATTACGCGTGGACAAGCTGGAAGTATGGGTTCCCAGATTTTGCTGCGCGGCAGTTACTGATGTCACACAGGCAGGAAGGAAATCGTTACGAAGTGCCAAAAGGCTCTTTCGCTCAGCTGGGTTAAACCGGAAACAGGAACAAAACAATTCTATCAAAGTGGAATTATTACCGCAAAATTCCAAGTAGTCGGGCTGGCTTTTACCGCTTGCTGCCATTAATGTGATAGCTAGAAACGGATTTTGTTCGTTGTTCAGACAACGTTTTTCTTGATTTTTCAAGACAGCATAGTGTTGGGGATGGGCTTCGCTCATAATATATAGCATTAAGCATCCGAATCCCCAAATATCCGCCCTTTGCAAGTCGTCCACTCCCGTTAGCCCAGTTCCTCTTATGGTTTCGGGAGCCGCATATAGAAGAGCGCAAATAGCTTCCTCGTGATGGTACTTGACATAGTCCGAATCCATTTCTGCCAGATTAAGCGGGGAAAATGTTGCTGTCTGCGCCGTAATAAACACTTTTTGCGGGCGGAAATCAAAACCGCCTTGTTTGTCGCCATGAAGCTCCAAAATGGAACGCAGAATTGTTATGATTGCTTCTAGCTTTTCCATCATCTTGCGAGGAGACTTGCTAAATTCCTCAACGGTACTCATGATCTTTTTGCAGATAGTTGTATAATAAATTTTACCAACTAAAAAAATACAACTTTTGCAATAGCGTAAACTCGAACAGAAACGCTGGTGAGAGTAATTGTTTGTTTGTTGTTAGGCCAAAAGCCCATTGCGTACATTTCGGGTGCTAACTTGCTGTACGAGTATGTTATTACCTGAAAGCTATACTGTATCTACCACATGTCCACATACGACGAGTTATCAACTACGGTATGTAAACGATATTAATTGTTTAACATCAGTGTTTGCATTGGAAAGTGCTACAGCGTGTTCCAACCTTACCTGCAAAACCTGCTCTAAAAACGACAGTATTATGATTAAGCTTTCCATTTAAACGTGTGCACCGGAGCGCGTGCTTTTGTTTGCAGAGAATGATAAGAAGTCGAATAAAGCATACAAGTCATCATGATAGTTTAGTGATAAGGTATAGCGGAGCGCACTCAGCGCAGTGGATTTGCCTGCAACAAGTAATCGCAGATGTACAAGTACTGCACATGCTAGCTATAGATAAGTATTTTGCCGGCAAAGTTTCCAAAGTGAATTCGTATAGCATTTTACGTACAAAGGAAGCCATTTTTAGTTTTAGAACTTTGTGATTCTTAGACAAATGATTTATACTGGAAACAAGTAATCCAGTGTTTAGATTGGTTACTGATTTTCGCAACCGAAGTACAAAGTCATATTCTACATTAATTTATAGAACAGGTTGTATGTATTACAGTCTTAGTGAGCTTTCAGAAGGCATCTCCTCAGCCCCACATTTTAGTAAAAGTTACAGACCAGCGCCTACAACTGATTAATTTTGTGAGTACTTTATTTGGACATCGTCTTTCTGTTAGTACCACTGAATATGCCCGAGGAGGACAAAAATGGCTGCAACATTTCTCAGCGTCACAGCCCAGTGACCCAGGTACGCGTATTTTATTTTTACATTACTATACATATAAATATAAAATATATAAAAAGTACATATAAATTCATTTTTGCTCAGTTATTTAGGTAGTAGGATTTCTAAAACATGTGTTCTTCTGCTTACATAGATATTTCGGGTGGAAGATATGGAAGATATACTTCCGGATGGTGGTTTTATCAGTACGTTATCCATGGAGTGGGAGCTCATAAGCCATCGGGATCAGAAGCGTAACAAGCGTTTATTCCGTGTAATCCATCAAGAGCAACCAGTTTCTGTAAAGGAAGTGACGGAGAAGATCAAACGGAAGGTCTTCAACGCTACAGTGGTGCCAAGGCTAAAAGTGCTCCTCAACCTGAAGCACCGGAACATCGCACAACACTGTGGCTTAGCGCTTGTCAAACCTCGGGAACCCTGCTACGAAGGCTACCTCTGCCATCTTACAGCAAGTCATTATTACCCCGGTAAAAATTAAAGCCCATTAAAATTAAACGATTAGCACAGCAAAATCAACAGCGGACTACTTGTTACGTATAACAGTAATACCAGATTTTTCTTAGACTACGATTTGTGCGAGTGGGCCGGGAAAAATTTAAAGAGCACTGGCCGTGTTGCTCACTGCCAGATAAAAAAATTCTTTGTGACTTGTTATCAGGACTGCACTATCTGCACGCACAGTGCGGAGACGAAACACAAGTATTTCACTGCGACATCAAGCCGGAAAACCTGGTGTTAGCGCACCCTGACGTTCCTGACCGGCGTGTAGTAATCATCGACTTGGAAGGGGCTGCAGTATCTCAAAATGGCGAGTTGAACAGTGAAACAACAAACACGTACTGTACTTTACGATATGCACCCCCGGAACTGCTGTTTTGTACTGCACTTTCTAACGCCGAAGAAGGGAAGATTTGCGACAAAACTGATATCTGGAGTGTTGGCTGTGTTGCGATATATTTGGCAACAGGGAAGAAGCCCATGGTGTGCGAATGGAAAAGTAATACCGGGCCAGGAACACAAGAATGGGACGATTATTCATACGGAGAAGAATGTAGAGGACCTAGCGTAGTTTGTCATGTCGGTGGTCTAACAGGGAAACCAAAACTGCCCGAGCTTTCTGACTCCGAAACTGACCAAAGATTGTTGAACTTTATAAAATCGTGCTTAATTTTCGATTACGCACTGCGAAAAACGGCAGCAGAGCTTTTGCGAGACGTCTATTTAACGTCTATCGTTCAAGAATAAGAAACACTGGGGGGTTGTTAAAGGAATTCTAAAGCACAGTCGTGAATTTTTATGTTAATAATCTGCAAGTGCTAGTTATTAAGTCAAGATAATTATCATTATTGTGAGCAGTTTCACCCGTCGACAAGTTGTTTCGCGAAATTCACCTACTATTCAGTGCAGTTTTGTAGTCTCGTTTTTATCGCGGTGCTTTCAAAACCAAGCACGACTGGATAGTTAAACGTTTTTATGGCTGTGGCAGAAATCGACTGTAAAATGATCATTCTCGCGCTAATCGATCAACAAGATCAAATTCTTATGTGGCTTAGCTATTGGGAATTTTTAGTGATTTGCCGCAGTTCGGGTCAAAAGGCGGTTATCCGCCATCAGACGATCGAGCGTATAGCAAAAAGGACATCATTGCCGCAGTCTGATCCCAGCGCAACAATTTGCGCATGCAGCCGATGACGAACTCACATCCGCGACCTTTCGCATCAGGTCTTGGCGTGCGGCATGCTTACTTTGCCTTTAGACTGTCGATTGCAGAATAACATGCAAGACAGCTGTGCTGTTGGTCTACAAACAACGTGTTGTAAACTTTCAGTTCAACATCGATAAACTTTGGAAAACCCGTTATGCATCATGAAGTAACGGTGACGGATGGTTAGCTAATCGTTTACTCACTATCGAGTATCGACCGTAGGAGTGTGCGCTAGCATTGCAGAGCACAGAATGTGTTGTTGTTTTACTGATTACGTACATACATCCGAATGTCCAGATGTCCAGTATTATCTCGGTCTCCATGTTCTGATATAAATTTACTGTCGGACAGAAACGTTCTGATGCAAGTTTTTTTCAGCTGGAAACTTCCGGGAATAGATTTATCGTGCAGGCCGACATGTTCCGGTTATGAATTTACAAACCTGAAGAAAGATACAAATGCACCCTACTGTTAGGCAGAAACGTCTGGTGAATCCTTTGTGTTGGGATTCGTAACTTGAAATTACCACCGGTACACTCGAAAGGAGCGTTAAATTTCGAGTTTCCCCGTATCGAAAAAATTATTTTACTCATACTTTACTCATTTTACTCATAATTATTTTACTATTTTACTCATACGTCTACAGCTCATATCAGCATTTTGCAGTTTCTTTTTGAATAAACAGTACAGAAACAAATATACCGTGTACTGTGGACATACAGTCTGTACTCTGTACAGATACAGATGCTGACTTGGCGGACACTGGAAAGATTGTCTGCGGCCACAGCAAGCTTTGCCCGCCTCGGAGTTGAGGCTGTTTTACCGCATCACCACATTCGTTGTTCTGGGTTGCTTAGCAGCAGATATGTGAGCCGGGGTGAGTGGTTCTTGTGGCAGTACCGCAAGACGCAAGTACTGTCCCCACATTGCGAGCGATCTGCCGCATTCATTCGCGAGCAAACTAAAGCAGACGCGGCAGCATTCTAACGAATTTCACAGGGTGCCTTAAAAGTCTCCCAAGTGGAGTTTGGCTACTGTTGGTTCGATAATAATAATATTATTAGGGTCGGAGTCGTGTGACGACATCGTCACTAGTCGCACTGCACGACCATTAGTCACCGGAAGCCTACGTTCTGGTATGCCCTGCACATTCCTGCGCGGTCATATGACGTAACGCTGACCGCATATTACATCATCATGCCGTCGTACTCTGTCATTGGCTTGTCGCCATACCAGCCCCTCCCATGGCAGCCGAGCCCATCCAGACCAGGACAATATATAAAGCACCCCTCCACAACGTACCAGTCAGTAGTCTGACAGCAGTCCACCAGCAATCTACCACTCGACTACCAGCCTACACCTGGCTTACCTAGCATTAGTATTGTTATTGTGGGCATAGTTGTTTATGAATAAAGGTCACTATCATACGGGTGCGTTGCCTAATCGTTATAGGGACACATAGGTAACACGTAAAGGTCATCGTCGACCTGCACAGGTGAAGCACAGGTGCGCTTACAGGAGAACTCTATACTGCGACAGTCGATCGTCATTGGGTCAGTGGCGGAGCTACTGTGTGAGGATGTGGCGCTATCGGCAGCTGTACGCTCGTCGCGTGGAAGTATTCACTCCGTTTGTATGCTTTCACTCCACGGAAAAGGTCGCGGAACAGTGCCGCACGTTGTTAGCAGCGGCTAACCCCAGTATCCGCAGTCAATCAGCGAAAAGGTCGCCGGCATGTATGCGCGATGGGTGCGGACGTTGGTTTATCCGGAAGGACCGGAACAGTGAAACGGGATACGAATTTTTCCTGCCAACGTATGGCTTTTTCTCATGGTCAGTGAATAAGCAACCATAAAATTAAAATAATTGTGTGGATCGAATAACTGGAATACTTGTTGATAAGGTTCAATAGCCTTCACCCGGATGCCAACCCGCAACCTTGGGACAAAATGGATCTCCGACAGCTGAAAATTTTCGCTCCGAGCAACGTGACCATTGCAGCCCTGGCTGGTTGCTTCGAGAAATAAACCAATCGTCGTATAGAAACAGACAATACGCCAGTTTGCTTCCTTATATTTCAGTAGAATATTTTTGAATACTGTTGTGGACTGGCTATTAGCATATAAGTTTTCTTCATCGAATGATCTCGATAGAAATCCACTACTCAACCACTGACGGGAGCAGATTTCGAAATGTGACCTCAAGCTCAGTGATAATCCTGCGGCGAAAATGAGTTTACACCGGTCTGAGTATTGTTCATGGTTTTCTGCTTTGACCTTTTGTTTGAAAGGCGGAGCCAGCGGAAATTTTTATTTTTACCAGAAACACATGCTGTAGTTGGTGTCAATATAACCATGCACTGCCTTATCTCTTTCGCCGTTTCGATGGATGTAGTAGGATTTTGTTTAAAAAACAACACACCGGTAAGGCGTTCAAATACGTCGTCCGGCAATGGGGAATATTCTGGACGGGTATAGGTGGTTTATGGCGGAATCTTTCCGATCTCGGAAAGTGTTAGGACTTCACGGCAAACATGTCTGGTGAAAGACTACTCCGTTTTAATCCAACCGACCGGCCATATGCTGCGATGCTTATTGTTAATACAAGGTTAATGTACACTAATATCGATGACTCTGGTTATCAAGTAACCCGTGGCGGAACCCCTCTCCCGGAAGGCATTGCTGAATACTGGAGACAGTCACATGCTTGCTGAGTTTTTTGTGAAGCGTGGGGTAATTTATTTACCCTTTCGATACGAGGATGGCACGCAGTCGAACCGACAGTAATTTTTTTCGGCGAGACCAACAACCACGCACACAAGTAGATTATTTTTTTCACATAACAGCCACCCGTGGAAGCGAAGTATCGTTTGCACTGTATGCGTGATACAGGTGACAGCCATCCGTGGAGGGTTAGCAGTCGCTTGCACTATGTGCACGGTTGTCGGTTGGTCTCGCTGAAAAATTTACTGTCGGTTTGACTGCGTGCATCCTCGTATGGTTAGTATGAAGCGTCGTATTGCGCTTTGTGTTCAGATACTACTGCTAGAAACAGCTTTGTGTTCAGATAGTACTAGAAACATTGTGCCATTAAAATTTATAATGCTTCGATAACTTTTTAAAGAAGCGTTTTCGCTGACTGGTTCTGTACTCGTATTGTTACCATCTGTTGTTCTCTTTGTGAAGTGTTATGGCATAATGTGGTGTGGGAAGCCTACTGCATCATTGGTGCGCTGCCTACATGTACAGCATGGAACCGCGTTAGCAGCATGCCAGTGTCGTCATTAAATTTATGTAAAATTTAGGTGGGTTTTTCTGTGCTCTCAGTTGCTAGTAATATGTTAAAGAAACTACCGCTACCCTCAAGTCGTGACAATTGTTCAGTGCAATGCTTTGCGCATGCCGTCGCAGCACATTGAAGTGATTGAACAGATATATGACTATTCGCAACAGCAAAATGCCGCTACTCAAGTTGTTTATTTTACTATAACCATATATATACTGTGAGCTAATCAGTTAACAGCCAGATTCTGGCTCACCTCAAATAATTTAGAAACCTTAAAAAAAAGCTGGAAAGGTAAGAAAGTAATATTCAAGACAAGATAATATTACTGTTTTAGCAGATGTAAGAAAACAATCGTAATTAATTGTTTTTTATTATTATAAGTACATCGACGATGTCCGTTGTGTGGGCCACAGCCACTTTCGCAGAACATACGAATACTACCGCGTCCGGCGGCGTTCGGACTTCTTAATACCTCTCATTGCTGTTTCCTACCCACGTCTATTCCTTACTTTTCCCTTCTGCTGGGGTTTGATTCGGAATGATTTTTCTCTAACTCGGTGTTAATATGAAAGTCAGACACCGGTTCAATGTCGCCGCAAGGCTTAGTGTGGTTGCTATCTGGGGAAGGTAAAGCCATAAATTCCCTCATAAATTTACTCATAAAGACACGGTTTGTCTCTTCCTGTCATCTTGTGCGAAGAGTTTGTGGCAAGCGGCGCAGCCAGGCCCTTCAGCGATGCAGGCAGTGCATTACCATCATCCGTGGCAAATATTTTACCCATTGTCCCCGAACACTGGCCACCGGTCAGTCTCCACTCAATAACCGTGTTGCGGCGATCTTTAAAAGTTACATATCACAGAACGACCGTTACATCGCAACCGCTGCCGCGTGATATGAAAAAGCATCTCTGGCCTTCTTTTTATCAGATCCTTGCGAAACGAAATCACATATAATCAGCACCATCACATACAGCAAAGGTAGTAAAAGAAAGGAAAGTAGACTGTCCCATTCATGTGGCAACTTAGACCATATGCATTTTGACCAGTCTGACCAACTCTGCCCTCTCCTGTGTCTTTTGATAGGAATTAGAGAGGTCTCCAGGTGATCAGGACGTATCGGTTCAAAAAGGCGAATTGGGCAGGGATGCAGAGCTAAACAGCGAACGGTTATCACACAAGAATGGGTCTGATTCAGACCGCTTGCCATTTTTATAGCACTTGCGATGATAAGCATCCGTGATATGTGACGGTTCGAGAATCATCGCAACACGGTTAATATCTCTCACGCCACTGACAGAAGACATAAGCAAGCGAAGCAGTTGCTACCGTGCATTCCTTATCCATCGCCTATTATGTACGCTAGACCATAGCATTTTGCCAAGGAATTTAGAATCTTCCATCGCATTAGCGAGGACTGAGAAATTAATTTCCCTTCGGAGTCCTGAATAGTGCGAGTCGAAGCCGGTACCATGTCCCAATCATTTTTGCGCCAGAAAACTTGGCGCTATGCCGAGATCCTGTGTGAGAGCATTGTCGTGCTGTTCATGTGCGCGGACTTGTCGCGCTTTTTGCTGCGCTTGGCGCTTCCCGACCTACGCGAATGCCGCACGGACATCCGATGGGAAATGATTGGACTGGATTCCCTAACATGGACAGATCTCCAGCAGGCAAGGCATTTCAATTTTTTTCGTATCAGTATGTTCCAAAATTAACACGGATCAGTACCAATTTTCATACCAGACAAGCGTAATTACGGATCAAACTGACTTCTCTATATCTGTGCACAATCGGATAATCATTGCGAAATACGTGATCCGCTGAAAATATTAATCCTTGGTTGCGTAACTGTTACCTCATAAAATCAAGCCAAAAAATGTACAATATTTCAAAATTAACAAAAAAACTTTCCAGTAGCCGGTCAAAGGCTCTCTTAATGAGTTTTGCTACTGTAGTTGCAACCTGCAATATTAAAAATAATATTACATATCATAAAAAAATAATCGTAATTTAAAAAATTTTGAGCCCTGTCAAATTAATAATGAATTGTGTAATTCCTGGGGTACTAACTACTAACTGCACTGGCATTTGATTATAATTAAATTTATTTTTTAGTTATTTTGTTTTAAATCTTAATAATTATAATATTATTCAGCAATGTATGTCCTTTTAGAATTTCTGCCATTAAATTCGATTCATTTTTTAATAAGAGCATCGGATAAATGTTCCGTTATTCTCGCTTATCTCAGTGATGAATATCACCACTAGTCATCCCATGTTAATACTTTAATCGCATTATGTAACTTGGCGAGCTTCGCTCAATAAAAACACTCGCTCAATAATTTTTATGTCATAATTTACTTTCCCAGGGCGACCACTTCCGCTGCTATTGGCTGCGCAGTGCGGGTACATGGTTTCCTTTTCTCGATATCATTCGTGACGCCTCCGTGTACATCACCAAAAATCCCGCTTCGGGCTTCGACATAGCCGCTCCGATGTTTCTCCTGCTAATCTGTGTCGCGCCGACGGTGGCGCTGTGCATCCTGCTGCCGTGGAGTCTAGTGGTGAACACACCCACCTGGGCCATCCACGACACACCCGCGGCCCTCCTAACCGCCTTCCGCTGCAATACATGCTCGAGCGGCTGCGGCCCGCTCCTAGCTATGGTCGCCTTTTGTGTGTACGCTGCGTCCGTGCTTCTTCCACCCGTTCTGACACTGAATCTGGCCATCTGCGTATCCCGGGCGGTTGCCGGAGATTCCGCTGTTTTGTCGGCCAGCTGCGTGGTGCTGGGAGGATGGGCGGTGTTCTGCGTGTTGAATCTCGCGGGGATGGTCGGAATTCCATCGCGAATCGGGATGTTCTTTCGACCGTCGTTGTAAGTCGCACATGCTGCATTTTCTGGAAATTCTAGCATTAAAATTTGGGACATACCTATGCTTCGTTTCCGCCTGGCCTCCAAATTTTAGTGATACATGTCGTCGTTCTCTGTGGTCATCCGGGGCTTCTTTAATTTTCTCTCTGAAGACTGGTTTTTGTCTGCCGCAAACGCAGTGCGCACGCTTGGTGTGGGCATAAATTCCCTCATAATTTGTGGCGGAAAAAACTGAAATTTCCCCGAATTGTATATGCTACAAGCCTACAACTAATGAATCCGTTAAATTTCCGCTGCAGAAAAACCCGCGGCGTAGTCAACAGAAGCGAGACGGAAAGGACGGAAGCGGTCGCTCCAGCGATTATGATGCGACGATGGCTGTTCCTCGCTCTGTTGTTTTGTCTGGGATTCGCACTTCACTTGAGCTATCCCAACGATGTTGTCTCCCTTTTTATGGAAGCTGTGTTCCCGACTTCGCCCAAAGATTTAAACGGGCCGACCAATGGAACCGACGGTGTTAACGTGACCGGAAATAAGACCAGACCCAGGGAACGTATCTGTATGTAGATATTTTTTACGGATATTTTCTATAGCACTGTAAAGTTCGTATCTGTGTCACGCATTTATTTGTAAACGACTGCAGAATACAAATCAATAAACATCGGTTAACCGAACAATGAAAAAAGGAAAATTTTATTATCACAACAGAAAGAGCTCAATTAACTTTGCAACGCCATCCATTGTTCCGAAAACCGATGCCGCGTTTCCCGGCTAAATCTCCAACCACAGCCGCTGCCGGACAAATTCATGGGAGCGAGCTTTTCCGGAATCCAAAAATAATAATACTCGTTTAACACTTCTGGAACCGATGGGTTAACTTTTTGACAAAACAATTTCTAAATTCGTAGAGAATTGACATAATTGGGATTATGTTGTATGACTTTACTGTGCGTTTGTACGAGTGTTCCCTGTTGTACTAGCGATGACGTATGATCCGTGTTCTTATCGGTAGCCTCCGATCAGAAGCTGCGCTCCGTCGTCGGCTAGCATTCAGTAGTTACGGTGTGACTGAGTTGGAGTGAACATCAATAAGATTAAAACGAGTAACATCATTGTGATCCTGTTGGTGTTAGTGTTGTGAGTGACCTTCGTTTAGGGAAAGCGGTAGTGTGTACCTAGGCGGAAGTTACTGTGTGGTATTCCTGTAGTGTGGTAGTGAGTGTGGTGAGAGTGTGTTTGTGGCACCGGTTGTCTGCGGAGGTAGGCAACAGGAACAACACCAATCTCCAGAGTTCCTTCTCTGCTGACTGCGGTCAGGTTGGTAATACTACACGCGGTGCGTGTAGTATGTCATGGCGCCCACCGGATATGAACGACCCTAAGGAAGTGGGAGATTGGTGAGTGGTATGTGAGTTTCTTGGTTGTGATTGTGTGTCCGTAATTTCCTTAGAGGAATTTACGAGGTACTGGTTCCTAAGTGGGACTGGGAGGCAAAGCCTTAATTTGGTTTGTCCGCTGCGGGAGTTGCGATCCACAGATTCCTTAGTGGAAGGCTGTGAGGTACCGTTCCTAAGTGGATACGGGTGAAGTACTGACCTTTGTGGTCCGTAAATTAATTTGGAAAAATTAATTTGTTACGGTGTACGTTTGGCGCAATACAGTGGGTCACTGTATTTGTGATTGTGTTACTGTAGAATTGTACTGAAAGTCGTGGAAGCGGCTTTGTCAGTGTTCTAGGTAACATCCGGGTTGAAGCGAGCGCTGATTGCTATCAGTGCTGTGGTGGAATCTGCTGAGTCAGTGGATTGTGAGCTGGGTCATCCAGTCACTGTCTGTGCAAGCGGTAAACAATGGACGGGTCAACGACTGAGCCAACCGTCGTTACTGCTGAAGGAAGCAAGAGTGCCCTGGAACAGCCGTCCAGTGGTAATGGTACTGTAAAAAGTCATCGAAAAGGTATGTTAAATGCAGCTGATTTTGGGGTAATGTTGCAGAAAGCACATTACGTTAATCCGCCTGTTATTCAGTGTCATGTGCCAGAAGGAAAAAATTTGGAAAATTTTTTCAGTAATTGGAAAATTATTTTACCGAGATCTGGTGAATTAAGCCAGGAATGGCTAAATTTTGATTCTGGTAAAATTAGTCGAAAACCTCCTGGTTTTGATGTGTGGATACAGAACGGTAGGAAGATTCCTACGCGTTTAACTGTTCATTTAAACTTGGTTGATTATGATGAAGAATTTGGCACGGATTTGCATGCCGTATGGATGCAATATGTCGATGCAAGAATGCAGGTTTCTGCACCCGGCATTGGTGCAGCTGTAGGTGAGTCAGCAGTTCTAAGAGGCAGTGCTTTGGTAGCGCAGCTTGATCAAAACGGTGATAAGCGGCTTAGCGCAGTCAGTGCAGATAGCCTTCTTGCGGATACTCAGAACAGTCAGGTAGCTGATCAGTTCGCATTAGAAAATGCCGATGATCCAGGCCTAGATTTTTCTGCAGCTGAGTTTTTCGCACAACAATTAAATGGAAGTTTAATTGATAGTGAAAATGTGCATATTGAAGTGGAAGATGATGGCAATGTTTTGGACAAATCATTGTCAGATGCGATTGACGCTTTGGACAAGTCTAATGCTGATTTAATTAACATGACAGTTATCAATCAGACAGGTAAAGCGGATGTGACGTCAGCACAGTATGCTGATCTTGACCGAAAGTATAATCGGGTGGTATCTGATTATGTGCAGTTGAAGAATGATTACGATTGCATTCATGCAGGTGGTACTGCATTGAAATCTGAATTGCAGAGTACTGGTAAGAAGAATTCTGATCTGGTTTCTCTGAATGATAAATTTATCGTTAAACGTGATACTGCTAACGCATTGTTGCAGAAGGCAGAAAGAGATTTAGCAGCGGAGCGTGCTAAGTTTAAAGCGGACCGTGATAAATTGCAGAAAGTTCTCAATGATAATTGTGAACTCTTGAAGCAGACGTATGATAAGTTTTTGTCGGAAAAGAAAACTTTTGATGAAAACGTATCGAAATTTAACCGTGAGCGCAGCCAGTACGTTGGTCAGGGAGGAGTGGCCAATAAGCCTGCCTTATCGGTTATAAGCCAGTTACGTGTGCATGGTGCACCTGTCCATGATGTACAGCCGGAAGTACGTGTACATGGTGAGCTGTCGCCAGTACATTCGGATGTTGGTTCGGTAATCTCAGAAGCAGTGAGACTACAGCTGAACGCTCTGGAAGAGCGAGTGAAAAATGTTGAGCGGAAGCAACAAGTTCAGAATGATAAGCTGGAGAGTTACAGGGTAATGCGAAGTCATGTACATGACTTGCAGGTACGGCTCGGTGAGTCGCGTACTCCCTCTCCGACTTTGTCTGAAGTGAACACTGTTGTATTTCATAACCTGCAGTTGAAGCTAGAACAGCTGGAAAAGCGGTTGAAGGAACAGGAAGAGAAAGGCAAAGGGACTTTACCTTTCGATATGGATAAGTTTGCAAGTGCAATGAAAGGTGCATTTAAATCTGATGTGATGTATCCTGAGAAATTTGACGGCAAAACCGATACGAATAAACTTGAACATTTTATTCTCAGTGTAGAAAATTGTAAGAATCATAATGGCTGGGAAGACAGTGACGTCATTCACAAGTGTTTGTCACGTTGTCTGACCGGAACGGCTTTGACGTGGTATCTTGATAAGCATGCCAGTCATAAAGGCAAGAAGTGGTCTGTTTGGAAAGAAATGTTACGTAATCATTTCTCGGATGAAACAGATTTGATGGCAGTGCGGGATAAAATTAGCAATAAGAATTTTGCTAATGATGATACGCCTAATTCTTATGTAGATTGGTTTACGACGTCATTCAAGAAGTTAAACTTGAGTGAGTCAGAGCGCGTTTATTACCTGAAGCAAGGTTTGAAAAAGTATCGTTTTGCTTGGTACAAGTATATGGAAGAACACGATGTTAAAAGTGTTGAGAAATTCCTTGATGGATTAAAGTTGCAGTATAAGTTGCGTAACAATGAACAGAATCGGTTCATTGTTGACAAGTCGAAAGGCAATGCGGTTGCTGACAGAAGTGCAGTAACTGCTGATAAGTCTGCTGGTGAAAGAAACAGTGGTGCATCTGGTTCTGATGCCCCAGTTAAACCAAAGATTGATTATGCGAAGTGGTTTTTCCCCGATGGAAGTCCGATATGCTTCAAGTGCCATGGTGCACATGTAAGCAGTAAATGTACCAGCACTGCGGCGCGTAAGCCTGTTATGGCTGAACCGCCAGTACAATTGATTAAGGATTATATGCTGAAGAAAGTAACGAAAAAAGAAGTAAATCGTATGGAACTGGTGCGTCCAGTTATTGAGATTAATAACGTAGAGGTGACTTGTGCATTACGTGGTAATGTACCAGTGAGTGGGCAAGACTGCATTAGAGGCGTCAAGCCCCGTGTGCGCTTCGACAAGCTACGCAAAGAGAGCAAGAAGCCGCTTTGCAGTGGGGGTGCCACGAGTAACCAGTCATGTACCGGTGGTACATTGACTAAATCTCGGTTTGAAACGCGTGTTTACTGGCGTAAACAGCAAAGTTGCGTGAAAAAATGGGAATGAGCAAAGTATTGGACTGATTGTACTGAGCTGCAGCTGTGATATCAACAGTACTGTTGATTGTCATGTTCCATCATGCTCATACAATTCTGGTAGATTAATCAGGGTCTGATTAATGTTGTGATTTTAATTTAAAAATGAATATACCATGTCATGGCGTATTTATGTTTTTTTGGTGGAAAGTGCTGTGGAAGCAGTACTTGGTGTGTTCCGGTGGAACGCACTGGAGGGCAGTAAGGTGAACCAATGAGGCAGTGCAGTTCATTTAGCTGTGTCTGCTGACAGTTTGCCAGTGGCAAATTGTTTGGATTTAAAATTGCAGCAGTGTTGCAGTTTTGTGTGATAAATTCAGGAGTCTTGAGTTTCTGATGAGCCTGTGAGTTTACGACTGCAAGTGAACACTTGCAGTGGGGGTAAACTGCCCTGTGAGAATGGATTCTGTGTTGTGTGTGTTGAAGGCATTCAGTTCTGATGCTTTCGTGAGGCCTGTCTGGAGTTCGTGGATGGACTGTCTGGATGAATGATGCGTGCGTGTGAATGCTTGACTGGAGGATGAGGATGGATGGATTCGTAGATCGAGACGTGGAATCGTTGGACGCTAGAGGACCTGCGGTGGACTGACATTCTCGTTCTGGAACGGACCACCGATGGAGTTCCTCGCGTTGGCGTCTGGATCCTGCGTGGAATGCGTGTACAAAATGAAACATTTTACAATAAAATTAATTAAAAGACAGCCAAGATATCACGCAGTAACATGGGAGCATGTAAAGTGCACTTCCGATTGCAGAAAACTGGCTCTCGAACGGATCAGGCTGCGTGCGGTAGCGAATGAGTAGCTGCTGACGTGGCTCTTTATTTGGGGCGGTTGCGAGCTATTATTAGCTATATGCTAAAACTTGCACCCGTAATATTAAAGACTGAAACGGCCAGAGTTGGATGGTAGAAGAATGGTTAATCCTTTCTGTGCATATGTTCAACCGTAACGGCCAAACTTGCGAACGCCTCGAGGGTTTGTCTGCTCAATGAATAAAAAAAGCTCAACTAAAGTATATGTGTAGTCGTGTGGAGATGCTGAAAAAAGCCCTGAATCCTCTGAGTGTGTTGCAGATGCTGGACAGCATGGAGGCCCGTCTGTCCTACTGGGTGGATCTACGCCCGTACTGGGACAACAATACGTACGCGGCCTTCTTCCCGGACGGCATCAATGACCTGTCCCCGGACGCACTGGCTGTCGGCTGGCTTGGATATGCCGTCTTGGCGCCGTTTGTTGCCATCGTCTTCCTCGTATCCACAGTGGGGACAATCGTTATCATTGGTGTCTGGATCTGGATCTGTTGGACCGATTGCCACAAAACAACCCGCGAAACACGCCAACCGCTGGTCGGACAGCAAGAAACAGCGTTCGCCAGTATCTTCTATATAGTAGCCGGCTATGGCATCCTGTTCTTTACCTGGAGCTTCGCGGCACGGGCCAGCTGGAATGTCCTTTTTCCCGAACGTGCCTCCCTGCCGCTAAGTATCTCGGCGATATTGGCCTGCATCCCTGGGACCGTGTGGCTGTGGAAGGCGGTGCGGCCGGCGGGATACTCGGGCAAGGGTCGTGCGCGCGGTGGTTATGGGGCGATTTCCAGCGACGACGAAATGGGCGCTTAAACCGTCATGGGATTGCCGGCTTCTGTTATCCATTATTTTTCTGTACTTTTATCCATCGGTTGCAGAAAATAACCACGCTGGTACGGTAATGGGGCCTGTATTTGATCCATGCTGTTACGTAGCGGTAGCAATTTTGCCATTCATTTCTCATTCATTCATCATGAATTTCTGTTTACGGTTCGGCTAGTTGTCCATTTACGGCATTTATACAGTTCAGTCTTGAACCCCTTTATACTGGTTGCTTTCATTTCTCTCAAAACTTGCTTCGAATCTCTGTTCTGCCGAGTATAATTCTTGTGACAAAACATGCCGTGAGTAATCTTGTTTCGTATGATGGTAACAATGCCGTGGCACGACCACTTCCGCCAAGTGCTGCGGCAGCTGGTATGCTTCGTGCCTGCAGATTTTATTCAATAAACGGCAGCATGACCAGTTTCTGAAACACGAGAGTAACCTGCTTGCTGTGGTCGGTAATGCCATGCAGTGCTTTCCGCTGAAGCAGTGGAGCGTTTGCCGCGTTGAGCCGAAGCCAAAAGTGCACAATGATCTTACAACAGAACAAGGTAGCGATCATGAGTCACGACCACCGTCCAGTAAAAGAGATTTTCGAACGGTGTTAACTTTATCGCAATGTTTTGGCGAGCGAGGTTGCTAAGTAAAGAGTAACTCTCGACTAGAACACCCGGACAATAAAGATTCCCTAGAAAAACCTTTGTGACGGGAACTAATTATTTGAAAAGCAGCGCGACCCGTAGAATAATAAATGCGTCACGCAGTCAGCCGCGCAGTCGGAAAATGGCATTTCGGTCCCGTTAAATCGATCCGACAGTCTGTTTCTCCCTGCCGCTGAATCGTTTCACCAGACAAACGTATCTGTTCACCTTAGGATCTCATCAAACGACGTTGTAGACCATTTCGGCGATAATATCCTTCTCAACAAAAAACGAAGCCAACACGTGAATAAAGAGGTCATTGGCAGTGTCCATTGTGATCCGATTTGCCGATCCAATCTCTACTCGGTAATTTGCCGATCAAATCGCTACTCACTTGCTCATCTAGAAAACAGCAGGCGGGTGCATGGACGCTTCCGCCGTTCACCGTAAACGTTTCATTAATTTTGTTAGCAGACAGCTGATTCCCGGCAGAATTCTTCGGTGTGCTACTGCGCATACGCGGCAGTTTATTACTGCATCGCTGTTCATCAGTGGTCTGACAGCATTATACGGCTGAAATTTTTCGGTACCCGTACAAGACCTATGGTGAAAATTGTTAATCGCTTTTTACTCGCCACTACTGAACATCTGTCTAAAAATGTTGCCGGCTGCGAACGGACGGCGCTTTATGCTTGCAGTTCTTCTCTGTGTCGCAAATTCAGTAAGCTTATTAGCGCACTAAGTTTTCCTTGACGAAACACCTGTATGTCATATCATGGTTACGTACTATCCGCCTTTGACTGTCTACAGTTTGAACCAAGCTGCTGCCATTAACAGTTTCTGCCATTCTCATCATGACCGGAATATGTTGCAGTTTTCCTGGCCGTACTTTTGTCTGGGTTCTTCAAGAAGCCAATTAATAAATTCTGGCTGTTTCCCAGGGCTCCCAAGCCAACGTATTGCCACGGTACAGGGATGTCATGGATCAGTATCAAATTCAGCCAGGAACGGCACTAGGCACCGCCTACTACGCCAGCCCACAGTGGACCAAAACGCCATTTAAAGTCCCATATCGGATGCGGGCGGCCACGCCCTTTCACGCTGCTCCCAGATTCGGTTCACCGCGTTGGCGAGGCCAGCATGTGTACATTCCATTGATTCCAAAGGGTAATTGCAGTCAGCGCATTCAACCCACACCCACCAGCAGCTGCTGCACCGCTGCGTCGTCTACCTGCCCCGTCAGCGCCCACTGGCGGAGCGTTACCGAGACGGTAACAACCTGTGCACTAACGGTGTGCTTAGCACCCTGTCTCACACTTTCCACCGCCATCTCGGAGACCGTTGTCAGTGCCATGTGTATTCGTTCAACGCTAACGTCTTACACAGCTAAAGTCAGGATCGTCCACCTGGACACATTTACGGATATCAGTTCGCAGGTTTCACCGGGAAGTTGCGATTACATTGACATGCAGACGCCTTCCTTGGGCAGCGGTGTGACGCTGTCGAGCGATGGGAATCCCAGCCACAGCGTCGCCGTCACGCCCACCGTGGTAGAGAGCAGGACCTATACTTTGGAGGTGCAAGTGACCTCCTATGATCTTGGTATTACCACAGGACAAGACGGGTCTCTAACATCGGATGAGGGATTACCGCAGTTAGCTCCGGTTACATCCAGCGGAAGTATGTGCTCTTTTTAAACGCACTGGCTTTGAAACTTGTCTTTGTCTTTTGGCCGTAACTAACCCGGCTTATTTTCACATGTTTAACGGACTTTGCTAGCAGCTGGTCCTGATTCCTTTTCAAACCGTATTCCGCATAAGAAAGGAAAATTTTGACGACCATGGTAATATATACATATACGCTTCAGTACAACTTGTTACATATACGAATATTAGATTAGATAACAAGAAGTGCAGCTAGGTTTCTTCTGCTGAGAATGTGCCGCCTTTAGTAATGAGTAGTAAAAATTTTATCTGTGATTTGTGTGGAAAAATTTGTTTGACGGCGCATGGGATAGCGTCACATCGCGACAGTGGAAAATGCAGAGAAGCTCAAGCCCGCAACTTACGAAACAAACCCGGGCTCCCCACTGCATCCCCTCAACCAGTTCCACACGACGAAAACTTGCTGGACAAGCTCTCTCGATTGCGACGAACCAATCCTATCCTCCCGCATGTTCCAGTAGGTGCGAGAGATGCATGTGCAAATGCGTTTGCGGAACTACTGACCGCATGCTGCGCGAAAAATGACATGGAAGCGTGGAGCAACTTACTCTTCTTTGCACCAAGCATCCTGACAGCTCCTCCTACGAAGTCTGGTAGAGGCCCATCACTCGCTACGTCGGTGAAGAAGAACTTGTCAAGTAAGCAGACAGAAGATATCATCCCCTCGAAAAAGAAGCAGCCAAAGCCAAAGACCGCAGCAGCATTAAAGGCAAAACTGGTCAACGCCAAACTGGAAAGTGGATCAATCGGACGTGCGATGAACATTCTCGTTTCACAAGAAACCATCGCGCCTTTAACTGACGAAGTCATTGCGATTTTAAAAGAAAAACATCCAGGTCGACCCGTTGACCTGGATGCTACGGTGCGTAACGTCGACGCGATACCCTCTGAAGTAACACATAGAGAACTGATAGCTGCTGTAGAGTCGTTTGATACAGGAACCTGCCCTGGCCCGGATGGATTACGCGCTGATCATCTTAAGGATCTGCTATCCACGCAAGGAGAAACACGCAGGAAACTGTTAGACGCCCTAGTGAGATTTGCGGATCACATACTGAACAAGGAGATTCCCGCAGAAGCAAGGAAAGTGTTCTTCGGAGCAAACCTGTTCCCGTTCCTTAAACCTAACGGTGGCATCCGTCCCATTGCATCAGGATGCACGTTACGCCGCCTTGTAGCGAAGATAGTTTGTTTCCGGCTGGCAGAAGAAATGGGTAATTATTTTCGCCCGGTCCAGTTCGGATTTGGAACGAAACAGGGAGCAGAAATCATCGTGCACAGTGCCAGGGAGTTTTTACAGACGCCGTCGACAAAGCCGCGCGCATTTTTAAAGTTTGATTTTGCAAACGCTTTCAACACCGTTCGGCGGGATAAACTTATGGAAAAAGTATTCGACCGGATACCTGCATATTATAATTTTGTTCGTTCTGCGTACGGAGAAGACTCAGTTCTATTCTGCATTTCTCCTGCCAGTGGTGTCACCATACCTTCCGCTAGCGGTGTCCAGCAGGGCGATCCATGTGCACCAATGTTCTATGGTTTACTAACACAAGATGTTTGTTCCCAGATTAAAGCCGAAACTAACCTGTGGTTTTTGGATGACGGTGTGTCTGCTGGAGACCCTCAAGTTGTTAAAGACGATATGGTAAATCTCCAAGAAGCAGCCGCCGCAGTGGGCTTAAGACTAAACACGGCAAAGTATGAATTATTCGTGGACGGCGGAACACCTACAGAGCGTGAAAACGTAGCCCAGTTATTCCTAAACGCGGTACCGGACATTCGCATTTCTAAACCGGAGGAAATGGAACTGCTAGGCTCACCCTTGCTGAGCGAAGCGATTGCGGGCGCGTTGATGAGGAAGGTCGGTCAAGCACAAGTGCTTGCCGACCAGCTCGGTATATTGCCTTCACATCAGGCGTTTTTCTTGTTAAAGAATTGCTTGTCGCTGCCGAAATTGTTATATAAATTGTTATATATTCTTAGAACTTCTCCCTGCTGGCAGTATCCTGAAGAATTACGGAAATTCGACGATGTCATCCGATTTAAAGCGGAACAGCTGACCAATGTCGCAATGTCGGACACAGTATGGAACCAAGCATCGTTACCCACGAAATTTGGAGGCTTAGGGTTGATCAGCGCAACAGAAGTGGCGCTAGCTGCTTACACCTCATCAGTCCATGGTGCTGTCGACATGGTGTGTAATGTTACCCGCAATGAATCCATCAAGGATCGGTGTAACCACCTGACAGAAGTGTGGACATCTCGCTTTTCCACCGAACCCCCTCGCACAGAAAGTCGCCGGTTTCAGACCGCGTGGACTACGCCACAGCACACCCAGACAGCATCCCGCATGATGGAGAACGCCGACGTAATTACCTCTGCCCGCCTGTTGGCTGCATCCTCATCGGAGTCGCGCGCCTGGTTGTCAGCATTGCCAGTATCCCTCTTCGGAAACCTGTTGGAAGATGCCCACTTACGCATAGCCGTTGCGCGACGGTTGGGAGCCCCAGTCTGCGAACAGCATGTATGCCGTTGCGGTAACGTAGTGGACAGCCTGGGACACCATGGCTTGGTTTGCAAGTTAGCGAAAGGAAGGCATGGCGTTCACGCCGTGTTGAATGATGTGACAAAGCGAGCCTTGAACTCTGCACGAATGCCATCGTCCCTCGAGCCGCCGGGACTGGACAGAGGAGATGGGAAAAGACCAGACGGAGTTACCGCTTTCCCTTGGAAAAATGGAAAACCGTTAGTATGGGATGTGACAGTGGCAGACACGTTCGCTCAAACGTACATCGCCCGGACGTCACGGGTGCCGGGAAGTGCAGCGGAAGCACGCGAAAACCATAAGCTAGGGAAGTACGATGGACTTGCAGACCGAGATGTAGTACAGCCGATCGCATTCGAAACCACGGGCACATTTGGACCACTCACAAAGAAATTCTTCAAGGAGCTGTCGCGAAAGATCAGCGATTGTACTGGTAATCCTCGGTCAGGAGAGTTTTTGCGCCAGAAAATCAGTATTGAGATACAACGGGGAAACGCTGTCTCTGTTCTTGGAACGTTTAACGACATGGTTAACAACGAGGATGTGTTTTTTGCTTTTAAGCTAGCTAAACGGGAGTAATGGTTCTTTAAACGTGTGAGTACATACCCTGGTAGATAACTGGTTATTGTTGCGACAAAGAGACAAATTTAAAACACAACTTGTTACTAATGTAACGAACTTGATTCCTTGGTGACATCACAACGCAGCTGATGCTCTGAAATCTGTGATTTAGGTTTCTAACACAGATACTTTTTGCGTCCCTTTTTACGTCACGAAATGTTCTGCGTGATTAGGCCGCCTATCTCCGTAGTCGGCTGGGGCTGTGTATTCACTGCCTATTCAGTACAAATTTTTCACTTTTATAGGAAACTTGTGACTGCATCGTATCGTCATTCTAAATATTAGTCATTAACTATAATCTTGTAGAAATGTAGACCTAAATATCAGCCAACTTTTAGTTTGACTATAGTAGACGAAACACAGCAACAATGATTTCCTGTGCGACTTAGGCCTCGTCCCGAATCTGTAGCGAATCTCGTTACGGTACAGGACACCAACGTCCCAGAATAGGAGATGCGCGATACGGTATGTCGGTTTTCGCTTCGCGTATCTCGTTACCCGTGAAAAAATTCGGGACGGGGGTATGCTCCGTATCCTAATGCGTCCCGTATTCACAACTCTCTGATACAGTACCCTGCGAACCGTATCTCAAAACCCGTACTAACCCCGCGTCTCATAGCAGCCAAAAATTTTACGCGCGCTTTTTACGCATATCCTGAAATACAAAGAAAAACGATACGGTACGCGAAGCCACCTCCAGAGGTGGCTTTCCCTGGTATCTTTTACAGATGAGTGAGAATTTTTGAATATTGAGTGACGATATCTTTCTCGAGAGTTATGCTTATTATTATGTCTAATGAAAACGAACGATGCTTTCGCTCCACATCGTTTTTCTGTTCATTTTAAAATCTCAGTTAAATGCCCATACGAAATCTGATCTTCTTAAAATTAAAACAATAAAAATTCCACTTATTCCAGCTCTTCAATCTTATTAGATAATAACACCATGCAGAATTATTAGCTTCAAAGAAGGAGAGTGGAGAAAACAATTTTCATGCCGAGTGTACTATCGAACACAAAACTGAATTTCCATTCATTACCACATAATAGTGAATAGGAGAAAAAAGCGAGACTCGGAAAAGAAGATTTGATTTTGCGAATTGTTATCCGTATGTTTTGTAAGTTAGCCATGCGCGAATGGTGCAGCTGATCTGTCTCATCAGTGCATCACTAACTGCGGAGTACGGAGTCTACGGACTATGATGGCAAACAAAAATGTTCAATCCAGGAAACAAACATTTCACAATTCAGACTTGGAACTAATTAGAACGATGGCATAAAAACAATCAACCCAAGAATCGAAATTCCTCAAACAAACTTCGAATTTTTCACCGAGAACACACATGAAAACTGGTAAGCAGTCCGATATGCGATCGGAGCGATGGGACGCAAATAAAGCGATACGGGGCCAAAGCTGAAGATTCGATACAGGAAACCGATAGCGAGTTCCGTTTCGATATGCGCAGCCTGTACTGTACCTTGGTGGCGCGCACCAAAAGGTGTCCCATTTCTGTACTGCAGCGAAGCTAGCTACGGTGCTGTATCTTAACGCGATGCGCTACAGATTGGGGACGAGGCCTTAGAAAGACAACTTTCTGGACCCTATACGACGATACAAAAAAAGCAGGCCTTAAACAACTGGTGTAAAGAACAATGGCCGTAATGTTTCCACGCTGTATTTCTAAACTACAACACTGCATTAAAAACTAGTAATGATAGGAAGCATAATTATAAACAGTGCCTGTTCATACTGTACCTTTGACAACCCTTATGGTAGATAAATACTGAGCGATAACTGCGCCAAATAAATCAATACGTGGACGGTCTGGTTAGCCGCATGCATGCCGCATGGTGCTGTGTTGTGATAACAGCATGGTACGGACAGTACACCATCATACTTCAACTGACCAGGAGAAATAAATCGATACCGGCAGCTTTCTAAACTCTCTCATGGCCAGGCTTGTCCCGCCGCACGCTGTACTGCCTTATTTCAACTATTCTGAACTCAGCAGAGTTGGAAATGCAATGATAGTTGACTGTTGTTGTTCGAAACGTTGCAAACGGTAGACTGAAACGCTTGCATAAACAATATTCTGAACGTTCGCATCTGATATGATTTGATTCGCTATTCTGAACGTTCGCATCTGATATGATTTGATTCGCAGGTACGTTCGCATCTACGTTTAAATTTGCATCATTTAGAGTAGTATGCACTTTACGCGCGTGCACTTTCTGTTACATTGATGGCCTTTGCCCAATAAATATCTTATACGTATGATTTGATAAATAAGTAGCTTCGCGGCGATTTACTGTAGATCATTTGCAGCAGCAGCTGTTCCTTATATCTCTACAGTTCTACACCAGCATGAACGCTACACCACGATATCTTCGGCATTTGCTTTCCGGTGCACGCCAAACCAGTTACGGGAATACGGTGCTGGTAAAGCGTGATAACGGGCAGTGGTGGCTCGGTTACGTGCAGGATATCGAGGCCGACAATTTCTTCATTGATTTCGATGCCAGCACTATCAGCGCCCAGTGGATTCACACCAGCCATTTGTGGCCCCACCATATCCCGGGGATGTTCCGCGGCCATTCGGAGATGGTGGCGCTGCGCGACGAGGCAGGCGGCCCGATGATAATCCGCCCGGCAACCGTAATCCGCTGTCTTCGCTCCATATTCTAGATCGTGCGTGTGAACGAAGAAAGTAGTGATACTCCGGAGCAGAGTCCTCAGACGTCCACTCTTCACCTTGTACATCATACGCAGTTCGCCAGTGCGCCATATGAAAGCGACTGCTTCTTCGGAAGGACTACCTGGATTCTGTACAAGAAGCATGTCATCAGTTACCCCAAAGCTCATCTGCTGCGGGAAGTGGATTTCCTACCGACGTTCCTGGCCAATGAATGTCAGTTAAAGTTGAGAAAAGACGCTCTGTGTACTGCCCGCTGTCGACATAGTAGGCAAGAGTATACCGACGGGTTCGATTTCGTTTGCACAGCACGACACCGAGGGTGTGACGAGGTGTACGGTTTCCGTGTCGGTTGCCGGGTGTTTGTGCGAGCGGACAGTGATACGATCACCTTCATTTGCGCCGAAGTGCACGGTGAAACCAACCGCAACAATGTGTGGGCGAACGAGAATGCAGCGCACAGTAGTATGTTCTGGAATGAAGACGCCCTGAAGGAAGCCTGCGAAAATTACCTCACTGCGCAACTGGCGGAGCAGTCAGATCTTGTACAAGTACCTCCAATCTCGCTTCCGCAAGGTCAGTACGACAGCACCCATTTCATACCAATAAAATTCTACCAGTTTTTCGAACGTTATTGTGTTAGCTGACGATGCTTAACCCGGCAACGTCTGCTAGGTGGAAAAACCACCAGTAAAGTTCGCCAATTTGTACAACGCGAGGACTACTGTCATTGCCTGGGTTACATATGCATTAGATAGAGCAAAGATAACTCCTTGCACAGTGAATTTTAGTTTTTTGATTAAACACACCGTAAAAAACCTACATTGCTTAGAAAACACTGAAAAAATAACGTACAGTTCTATGAAGTGTATCTAAATCGGCTGTTATGATAAAAATTTGGGACTAAATTAGTGATACCTTCATGTGAGTATCTCACAATTTCAGTATCATACAAAAGTCTGCACTCTGCAGCTCTTCTGTAAAAAACTGTGGATTTTCAAAAATAGCTGGTAGAAATTCCAAAATACATAGGTTGGTGGAAATTCCACCGCTTGGGCATTGGCGTAGGACAGTAGCATGCTGCCTGAACAGGAACAGTGACCATAGCCGGACACTTCATATGATTCAGCCGTTGCACACTAGGAGAGTTGTCAAGCATAACACTGTCAGCTAACTGATCAAAATGTCAAACAAATAAGGACCTCTGAGTGCGTTGATAATAGCATAAATGGTAATAAAACATTTTTCTTATCATTTGAAAAAAAATAGTTTAAGGTCGTTATGTTATTGTTATTCTATGGTAAGAATTTCAACTTCGACAAAAAATTCCTTGATACCTCGGGCATTGCCGGGTTAATTAAGTTATTTTAGTGAATGTTCCGCAGGTTTGGTTGAACCGGTCATCAATGATTTGCCGCATCCGATCTTGGCGTGGATTCTGCTAAATCTGGATGTCGATTCTCAACTGAAAACACACCGGTAAAATGTGATTATTGGACCACAATAATCCGCGTTGCAAAAAGTTAACTACGTAATAACTATGTAATAAAATATGTACGCTGGTGTCTCCCTAGGGTGTGCGCGCAGTGGAGGCTTCTTTTGTTGGAACAGGACTGGCACCGGCATATCATTTTCGACAGCCCAGGAATGTGCACAATAAAATCATACGATGAACAGCGTGTTGTGGACAAGTATTATCGCTCCTTTAAATTCATGACAATTCTGAACCACACCGTTAATGAGAACACGCAAACGCTAGCGCTTATTGACGAAGGGGAATACGGCCGGAGTTCTAACTGTAGTTTTGATATCCAAGATAAAATGTGGGGTATCAAGATATTATTGAAAACCAAAAGCATTTGCTTGCCGCGGATCATTATTTTGAACGGTTCGGACGCTGCCCGTACATCATCGTTTTCCCTTTTGGCACTTAACCGCAATAACGATACTGGGGAGTACGAATGCCATGCGCTGTCGAAGCTCATGAAGGTCTGCGAGGAGCTCCTGCTGATCAATTACAACGCATCAGAAGCCATCAACGGATCAGCGTTTTCCATATTATGCAAAGACCAAGCACACATGATGCTTCGCGAAAGGGATTTGATACGACTTCGCGATTACGTGCGGCCAGATGTTATCATTCCGTTTTTGCGCTTTCGCTCCACGGAAACGGCCGCTGAACAGTGCCGACGCTTTTTGGCCGCCGCGAATGACAATTGTCCGCCGATTACGCAGCATGTGCGTGAAAAGGTCACAGCCATACATGCGCGCTGGTTGCGAACGTTTAAATATCCTGAAGAATGGAGCCGTATACCCATTTTCCTTGAGATGTGAGTAAAATTTACAGCATTTTACCTTCCGTCATCAAAAATGATTTGAACGGAAAGAAAGTTGAAATTTAAAAAAAAATAATTCTAATGTTGCTGTACCCGCTTTTGGCACAGATTAATTTATTAGCACAAGCCTGCGAGAAACAGATAATAATTATTTAGTGAAACAAAATAATGCATGGAAAATAACTGGAACTTCGAGAAAAAAACAAATTTTCTGTTTAGTCCAGCGTTGTATTTACTATTGGCCCAAAACCTTACTTACTTCTTACTTTTCGTCTCGTCATTGACTTTACTATTTACTTTACTATTTACTTTTCATAATCTTTCTTCTTTACTTTTACTTACTTTTTACTTTTTTTACTGTACGTGTTTTGCGATAAATCGCAGTACGCAACAAAAGTTTTCAGTTTTTTGCCATATTATTCGTTTCTTAAGTATATTACGTATCTAAAACAAAAATAACTTCTTGTACTCTGGGACAGTGTGCACACCGATTAATTTTAATTTGTTTTCAGAAATTATTTTCAATGAAGCGATTTGGTTATGTGTAAAATTATAGTACTTATTTTTTGACAAAAATTAGCAAAAGTCATTACACCGTATCCGGTGCCAAGGTAAGTATTGCAGTGAGTGCAGCAAAATTTTTGCAAATCAGAAGAAAACCGGTACTGCCAAACGTAACTGCTATGGCAAAAAGCATGCTCACAGAATTCTCTTGATGCCCTTCACTTTTGTCTGTTGCGGACGCTTAGTAAACGACTGATTTACTAATTAAACTATTCCCGTTTCGTGCCTCTTACTTTTACTTACTATTTACTTCTCAACGGCTGCTCTTACTTTTACTTTACTTTTACTTTTCCGTTTTGCTGCTTGCTTACTTTTTACTTAATTAGTTAGAGGCAAAAACGGCTTACTAAGTAAGGTTTACTATTTAGTTTTACGTTTTACTAAGTAAAGCAACACTGCTGTTTACCTTATATCTATACTGTTCTGAAGTGCCATAAATAAATTTTTAAATCTTTTCTCGTCTAAGCCAACTTCGCTTTTATTTTATTGGAACTATTTTCCTGTATTTGCAAGCGCGGGCACACTACTTCATAGTAAAATTTAAACATTGAAAAAACAATGTTTTTTTTCAATATTTAAATTTTAACTATGAAGTAGTGTGCCCGCGCTTGCATTTTGTTGTTTTCATGGCTATTGCCTATTAAAATTATTTTCCTGTATTTTAAATCATTTACGAAATGATTTGAAACGAAGAATGAAATTCAAGAAGTATGAAAGTGGAGTTGCAACGATAAAATACTCGAACAGGTCTTGCGAAATAAACCTATTTCCAAAGTTTCTTTATGATCCATAAAATGGTCGGTTGTTGTTTCCTAGTTTCAATAGTTTCGGTCCGGATGAAAATCGCGTACGATGGGACACAATGGATCTCCGTCAACTGGACATTTCCGCTTTGTCCAGGGTAACATTCGCAGCTTTGGACGGATGCTTGCAAATCAGACAGATTACAACAAAATCAGAAGAAGCCGAGGAGGATCCTGGCTTGTTCAGTTTTTTCTGTTGTTTCTTAGGCTGTAAAAAGGAATAATTTTAATTATGCTTTATTTTCTCAAACTGATAACCTTAATCCTTGAACTGCTGTTAATAAATTCCTATGGTTGTGTTTTCGCTGGCCAATGACAATCATGTGCGTACATGATGGCCGTTTGATGGCCGTTGGCCGGCCGTTCTTGGATTATTCTCGTTATTTCTAGCTGATAAAGTAAACTAGCGCATCCGTAACCGTTCTTTGTAATGCTATTCGTTTCTTTATGCCACGCCCATTTTCCTTGGCTTGTTGCAAGATAAGCCAGGTGGTCATTCGTTGGAATCGTTTCCACTTGCTGTAATAGTTAATACTACATAGTACATGCGCTGCAATTATGTACCACAAGTTGTGGGCCACAACCACATCCAAAATGCAAAAATACAACTATTTGCAACTAGTGCTGTAATACTAGCAATAAAAGTAGAAAAAAAAGAATACCGAGCTGAGCTAGTCGTATATTAAAGCGAAAAGTACAGTACAATTAAAAAGGGCGTTTCAAAAGTAACTCTCCCTATTTTATACTTTAGTACTTTTTGTATTTTGTACTTTTGTTCTTTTTATTAACACCATCCATCACTTAATCAAACAATAAGGTTATTTGGGCTCATTGCGATCTGTCTGCAAAACGTTTGGCAAAAAACGGGCGGAGGTATTTAACGGCTTTCGATCACTGCGGCCGTTTTCATTTCGGCCGTTATTCATTTAGCGCTCACTTCGGCTTCCACGCATTTTGGCCATAATTCTGCTAGCCAGTGCATCACATCAGCTGACAGTGATCGAACGAAGATTCTTACCATTAAGAATAAACCAAGAACATAATATCTGAGATGTTCATTTATACAAACATTCATGAAAACCATAGAAGTGCGTGAGCGCACTATAAACGTGTAGACGCACGAAGTCGAAGGTGAAAACTACCCATGAAACCGAAGAAAAATATGAAAACATGAGGAAAATTATGAAAACTTAAAACATAAAAGAGCATAACACATTTAAATTTAAAATCATCAAAGAAATATAAGAAAATAAAAAAATACAATAAACAAACATAAGAACACATACACAAAAATGAGGAGAGACAAAACAGGAAGAGAAAAAAAAGAAAAAAAAGATATATAAGAAAAGAAAACTACGGAACCGAAGAAAATCTTGAAAACCAAGATGGCTGAAATGCCCAGTTGGCAAAATGAGTGTTGGCCGAATTGAGTGCTGGCCGAAAGAAGCCGCGGCCTAATTGAGCCTCGGCCGAAGTGAAGGCTAGAACGGATTCAACGCGGCCGAAGTGATCGGACGCGGCCTTACGGCCTAACTCATTGTTGTGAAAGTGACCGGTACAATGCTCCGTCAGGCTCAGCGTGAAGCTGTGTGATTATGATCTGGAGAAGATAAAAGTCATAAGTTCACTCATAAATATAAAGACACGGTCTTTCTCTTCCAGCATCATCTTGTGCGAAGAGTTGGCATCAGCGTAAACAGGCCGTTGCGATGCAGAGGGCATTACCCTTATCAGCAAATATTTAACCGTTGTCTAGCTGAACACAGGACAGAGAGAGATACAGAATCAGAAGGAGGCAGAGAGTTCAGCGATGCAACCATTATCTCCGACCGCTGACCAACGGTCAGTCTCCACTCAGGCTATCACCCCGCTGACAGAAGACATAAAGCGAAGCAGTAGCTACTCGTACCTTGCATTCCTTATCCATCATCTAATATGTACGCTAGACCATAGCATTTGCTAAGGAATTTATGATTTTCTATCGCATTAGCGAGGACTGAGAAAATAATTTTTCTTCGGAGTCCTGAACAATGGCAGTCAAGACCGGAGCCATGTCCCAATCATTTTTGCGCCAGAAAACTTGGCGCTATGCCGAGATCCTCTGCGAGAGCGTTGTCGTGCTGTTCATGTGCGCGGACTTAACGCGCTTTCTGTTGCGCTTGGCGCTGCCCGACCTACGCGAAGCCCGCACGGACATCCGAGCGGAAATGGATGGACTAGATTCGTTAGTATGGACAGATCTCCAGCAGGCAAGACTTTTCGAAATTATCATATTGTTCAAATCGTTGTCTTCCAACATTACCACGGATCAGAACCAATTTTAATACCAAAACCAGCGTAATTTTCGATCAAACTGACTTGTTTAGCTGTAGATATTGTATGTGACTGTATACGTACAACCGGAAATTCACTGCTGAATACGTGATCCGCTGAAAATCATTCTTTAGGTTGGGTAACTTTTATCTCATAAAATCAAACCAAAAAAACGTATAAAATTTTTATTTTTTTTATTTTATTATTTCAAAATTAGCAAAAAAAGTTTCCAGTGATGAAAGTCTCCATTAATATGGGGTTTGGCTACTGTAGTTACATAATTCCTGAAGTCCTAACTGCTTGGGCATTTGATTATAATTAAACTGGTTTTATAATTATTTTTTGTTTTAAGTCTTATTAATTTTAATATTCGATTTTTCAGTAATTTATACGTCTTTATAAGATTTCGACCATTCAGTTTGATTTATTTTTTGATTAGTGCGTCGGTTAAATTTTTCGCGATTCAAAGTTATTAACTTATTACAATGCTGAATGTCAGATATTATTATATCACCGCTAACCTGTGACCGTTAATAATTCACTATTATTATTATTAATGTCGTAATTTACTTTAGGGAGACCATTACCGCTGCTACTGGCTGCGCAGTGCGAAGCCATGGTTTCCTTTTCTCGATATCATCTGTGACGCCTCCGTGCATATCACCAAAAATCCCACCCTGGGCTTTGATCTCATCGCTCCCGCGTTCCTCCTGCTCATCTGTGTCGTGCCCACGCTGGCGCTGTGCATCCTACTGCCGTGCAGTCTGCTGGTGAACACGCCCACCTGGGCCATCCACGACACCCCGGCGGCCTTTCTAACCGTCACACGCTGCATTACACGCTGCTGGAGCGGGCACCTAGCTGCTATGGCCGCCTTTTTTTACTACGTTGTTTCCCTGTGTTATCCCGTTGTAACACTGAGTCTGGCCATCAGCGTAGCCCAGGCGGTTGTCGGAGATTCCGCTGTTTTGCCGGTCAGCTGCGTGCTGCTGGGAGGATGGGCGCTGTTCTGTGTGTTGAATCTCGCGGGAATGGTCAGAATTCCATCGCGAGTCGGCCTGTACTTCCGACCGTGGCTGTAAGTTGTGCATACTGCATTTTCTAGAAATTCTAATATTTCGCTTCCAACTGACCTCCAAATTTTAGTGATATATGCAGTCTTTCTTGTTGGTCGTCCGAGGGGAAATCGGCTTCTTTAGTTTTCACTGTGAAGACTGGGTTTTGTTTCTCGTATTCGAAGTACGCCCACTTTGCAGTAGAAAAATCGCTTGGTAGCGCTTTAAATGCTCATAATAATCTGTGGCGGCAAAAATTTAATTACCCTGAACTGTATAGATATCTATTGTTTCTGTGTGTGCCAAGGTGCAGCTCTGCAGTAATCATGTCACGTAAAGATTTCTTTTAGCGATATTCGCATGCGCTAGCCTTTTTCTGATTGTTAAGGGCGATATGCCCGTACATGCTGTTATCTGATATACCGTTCCACTTGTTGCTCTTTTATACCGCTGTTTTTGCGCTTTTCTGACACAGTTACCGCCATACAGTCTGTTTTCCTCCAACAACAATCCCTGACTTGAATTGCCGTCTCGTTCGTTGCCGTTTATGCATATTTCCGTAATCACCGCATATTAGACTACGATACCGGCCGGTCTTATGCCGCCGTGACCTTTCCGTTTATTTTGCTCTGCCATAAATTATGTAACAATCATGATAAATACGTTTGACGAGTGTTGCGACGAATAGTTATATTAAGTTTCTACCACAGGGGAAACCCCCGGCGTCGAGGAGAGAAGCGACACGGAAAGGGCGAAGGTGGTCACTCGTGCGCTTATATCGCGACGATGGCTGTTCCTCGCTGTGATATTCTTTCTGGGACTATTCCTTCACTTGAGCTATCCAAGGCATCTCCCTTTATATGGAAGCTCTGTGCCTGACTTCCCCCGAAGACTTAGGTGAATTTCTACTCGATTAAGCTCATGTTTAATTACACACGAGCCGATAGAGAAATCATATCTCAATCAGCCGATGTATTTATGATCTTTAGCAAAAATTCGTGTGGAACCGACGGTGTTCATGTAACCGGCGTGGCTGGAAATGAGACCAGAGCCAGGGTACGTATGTTGCTATCTGTTTACGGATATTTTTCAAAGCATTATAAAGTTCATACCTGTATCTAAATCGTGTCAACAGCGATCCTGTCTTCTCTGGTCTCTGAAAATCGCAATCATGAATGTGTGATTCAACAAGGTCGGTGCTTCGTTTCAACGCTTAAACAAGCAAACAAGCGCTTTAATTCTTTTCAAACCCCAATTTTTGAAACCCGGTGATTTATGCGCACTGAACCGGTCATTCCTGCAGTCATTATTTTATTAACTGTATTAAGAAATTTTGTTCCGTGGACGGTGTCACGTATTTACTGAGCGCTAATGCTTGTACCGTACGTTGTTAGCAACTCAGGAGCGCCGCTATAACAGACTAAACAACAATAACACAACTGCGTACGTATAAAGATTATTATAGACTACGCCAGTTGCCAGGTACAACATTCATACAACACAACATCTTCACATGGCATTCACGAGAATCTTTAAGTACTTTACGCTACACACCGGTTAGCCGATTTGTACTAATTACTTCTACTTTGCCGATTAGTTCTTTTTTAATTTTACACTGTAGATGAGATACGCTAATGATCTGAGTATCATCCTGTGCTAGATCAGATGAATCTCTCGGTGTTCTGCGTACGCAGTACGAGTGAAAATGCAGCAGCTCAGATGCTAAGTCGTAAATCTACTGAATTCTAAATCTACATCTACAGAATCCTAAATCTAAATCTGATGAGGCCTAAAACTGCTGAGTGTGTTGCAGATGCTGCGGGAAAACGCCGCACGCCTGTCTTACTGGGTGGACCTCCGTCGTTACTTCGACAGCACCACCTATGAAGCCTTCTTCCCGGACGCCACCAATGACCTCTCCCAGGATGCACTGGCTGTCGGCTGGTTGGGCTACTTCGTCTCGTTGCCGTTTGGTGCCATCGCCTTCTTCGTATTAAAAATGTGGCCAACCCTCATCGTTTTTATTTGGATGTGGTTCCGTTGGACCGAATGTCACACCGACGCCCCCGAAGGGCGCCAACCGCCGGTCGAACAAGAAGACACACCGGTGTCCAATTACCTCTATATAGCAGCCGGCTATTGCGTCCTGTCCGGTGCCTGGATCATGGCGACACGGACCAGCTGGAATGTCCTCTTTCCCGAGCACGCCTCCCTGCCGTTGAATATCGCGGCGATATTGGCCTGCATCCCCGGGACGGTGTGGCTGTGGAAGACGGTGCGACAGGCGGGATAAGCCGACAAGTTTCGCGCGCGCGAGGGTTACGGGGTGATTTCAAGCGACGATGCAATGTGCGAATACCACCGTCATGGGATTGCCGGCACCTGTTACGTAATATTTTTATTTTCACCATTGGTTTCAAAAAATAACCAAGCTGGTACGATAATCTGGCCTGTAACTTGATTCATGGCGTTACATAGCGGTAGTAGTTGACCATCCAGTTCACATTGAAATTATTATTATTAGTTTTATTAGTTGAAATTCTGTTCACAACTTGCTGTCCTTTTTCGGCATATTTGTACAATTCGGGTTTGTACATCTTTGTACCGTTTGCTTCCATTTAGCTCAAATTTTGCTGCAAATCTTGTTCCGCCTTGTACGATCGGGTATCAAAACATGCCGTGAATTTTCTTGTTTCACACGATGTAAAATAGTATGGTACTGTAACAGTCTGCCGGAACTAGATGTTTACGAACAAAATCAATGCTACGCTTAGGCTGAAAGGTTGAACCATCTATGACGTGCTGCTTACTAGACGAGCAAGCGAGTACAGATTTAATCGGCAAATATGTCAAAGTGATCTACTTTGGAACATAATATTATCACAATGGACACTGCCAATGACCTGTTTATCCACGTACGTGTTTGCTTCGTTTTTTGTTGAGAAAGATAGCATCGCCGAAATTATATACAACGCCTTTCGAATTTCGATGACCTCTGTACGTTAGACTGCGGAAACAATTCAGCGGCAGGAGAAAACAGGCTGTCCGGTAGATGTAACGGGACTGTAAGGCGATTTTCCGACTGCGGGCCTGCTTGCGCGACGCATTATTCATTCTACGGTAAACGCTTTTTTAAAATTCGTTCCGGTCGCCAAGGAGGTTTTGGGGTATCTTTGTTCTTCACGTGTTCTAGTCTGGAGTTGTTTTCATTATTCATTTCGGGCGCGAAGGATACAGGATACCAGCTGCCGCAGTACTCGGTGGAAATGATCGACTAAGAAATGTGTTACCGCAATTCATCAGTGCGCAACTGCGCATACGCCACTCGCAACCAATTTACTACTGCATCGCTGTTTAATGAACATCTATTGAATACTATGAGCTCGCCGCTTTTGAGTTTTTTTTCTTGTTCGCATATTCAGTAAGCATTAACCATTGCCTGTATTATGTACGGTTTGAAACAAGGAGTACGAGACAGTGGGAGACTTCCACAAGGGAAGTTTCCACACAAAAATACAGTTTTTCTTTTACTGAAAGCTATTTCCAAGTTTCTTTATGATGTCCATAAAGTGGTCGCTTGTTGTCAATCAGTTTCAACCGTTTTGGTCCGGATGACAGTCTCCAGCGATGGGAAACTATGGATCTTCGTCAACTGGACATTTCCGCTTTGTCCAAGGTGACCTTCGCAGCTTTGGATGGATGCTTGAAAATCAATAAGATATCTACAGAATTTACAGGAGAATAGGGTCCTGGATTGTTCAATTTCTTCTGTTTTTGTTTGTGCTGTAAAAAGAGGAAAAGCTGAACTAATGCAGTAGATATACGTAATGTGCTGTACACACAACGACCTGCGCCATTGCGCGTTCCTGTTTCTCCAGAACATACACAATCAAAGATGGCGCTGTGCACTGTGCAGGATGCGCTGTGCACCAAAAGACCTCCAGCCGAAAAACCACTGTAATCTGAACATCAGTTTGAAACCGGGGAAATTTCATAGTACGGCTCCCAACCGCCACAGGGCGCCAATCTGGTAAGAATCGTCAATATGAAAGGCGAGAATCGTCAATACTTTTGCCTTGCCGGCTGCCCTTTGGCATGCTCGTCGTGGTTCTGACCTCTTCAGTTGCTGTAAGTAGTAGCCTAATAAAATTTTCTTGGTCTGCAGAACGAGATTGTTTCTGTGTTAGATATCTCTCCAGTTTCTCCATGGCCAATGTTTGATTACTGATCTTTTATGCTTCAAGTTTAACAATATTAAATCCTTTTTAGCGATTAAACTGCGAGCATTTAACTAGTCCAAACTAAAGTTAGTGCAAATTATTACGACAGGGTCGTAATAGTACCGTTTTCGGGATTACGCATTAGTTTGGCTCCTCTCCACAACACCATGAGTACCAACCCGCTAAGCTATCGACAGCTGTGTTCTGGAGCACACCATTTGAACTATGGGAACACCGTATTAGTGCGCCGGGACAACGGTCAGTGGTGGCTGGGATTCGTTCAGGATATTGACGGCGATAACTTCTTTGTGGACTTCGACGCCAGCACAGTCCACGCCCAGTGGATTCATTCTAGCAATTGTTGGCCACACCGTTTTCTACTTTCTTCACTACCGTTATCCAGCGGCACCTCTGTGCAAGTGGCACTGCGTGATGAGAAGGACGGTCCCATGATTTCTCGGAACTGCATTATCGTCGACAATTTGCATGGTATGTTCTACAGTTTGCGCGTTAATGATGCTGACTACAGCGGTTCGGTTTCTCGTCTCGCCCATAAATGGCTGGTTATCGGGAAACTACCCTTTCCACTCGGCGAACCAAGTTTCTGCGGGCGAGTCAACGGACATGTCTACCGTAAACATGTCATCAGCTTCCCTGAGGCTCCTGCACTACATAACGTGAATGCCCTGCCCACTTATCTGGTCGGAGCGTGCCAGTTTGTTTTGGGTAATGCGGGAGTGTGTGATGCCAATTGCGCATTCGAAAGGTTCGCGACAATGGAAGTGTTTGGTTTCCGCTGTGCGGGAGCACATCAGCTGATGCATGCGCCGTATCACTTTAACGTCGGTTGTCGGGTTTTTGTTCGAGTGGAAATGGACTCGGTCATCTTCGTGTGCGCCGAAGTGCACGGTGATGCGGATGGGTGCAGTATGCTCTGGAGTGAAGACGCTCTGAAGGCAGCTTGTCACCGCTATCTTATGTATCAACAAGCGCAGGAAGGCGGCAGTCTTATCGCTGACAGCAGTTCCATGGTGACCTCTCAGCCAGGTTAGTCAATCCAACTCAGTTCGACTTTGAATCTTTTCATACGGTTCGGCACAGCAATGCGCTATAAACGTTTTGTCAATTTGAATTTGCGTCATATCTGAGTCAGCGGATGTTGCGCGCACAAACAGTGTTCACGCCAGATTCTACGAAGTGTCTGGCCTCTGTTGCGGCGGAAAGCTGCCCGCAGTGGCACAGCGTGCGTACTACATATATTTATGAACTTAAGGGCAGTACACACGCTGTGAAGGATTTTTTACCGTTACACACTCTGTGGTTTAACTTATGCGAGCCGCTACAATTCGTAACTGTCGTAAAGCAGTTCAGATAGAAATAAAACTGGCGATCGTGACGGATTGTGTTACATCCAGATATCGAGAGCGAGCGGATCAGCAACCTTGCCCATCCCATCCTGGCGTCGACTTTGCATAGTCTGGATATCATCACGCAATTACGGATGAGCCGGCAAGTTAACTATTATTTCCAAAATATGCACAACTTTAGCTACGGTATTTCAGTTTATATAATCAGAAACCTAAGAAAAAGTATAAAAAGCAAAGAACGTGTTGTGTTGTGATCAGTCACCAAGAGTTTTCTGATGTTGTGTTTGCCGTGCAATCGTTGACCTTTCATACGGTCTCTTAGGGTGTGTGGACTGTGGAAGATTCTTTTACGTGACGATGCCACGAACCGGCGCAACATTAGCGTGGAAATAGCGTTCTTGCGCTCCATTGCCGAAACAGAGAATGAGATTCGCCGGCTGATCGCCATGTTCGACTGCATCGTAACACCGGGAATGGAGACGCTGGCGATGACAGAAGTACGAACAACGTACCAGAAACTATGGTGGAAATGCGCCTGGAGGATGCCCATTGTGAGAGAAACACTGCAGGCCAAAGGCATTCGTTTGCCGTTGATTATCATTAGGAACGGAATGGATGAAGCGAAGAAACAGACGCTTCTGGGGCTGCAGTGCAGCGCAGAACAGGAGTACGTGTGCAGCGCATTGATGCACTTGACGGCCGTGTGCGACGAGATGCTGTTCATCGACTACGCGGCAGCGCTTCCTTTCGGTAAAGGTTCGCGCTTGATGGCGTTGTTTGACTCTGCCGATGCGCCGTGGCCGGATGTGGGCAACGACTTTCCTCAGCAGCTTGCTGAAGAAAGCAACAATAATACGGAAGCTTCTCAGCAGAAAATTACCATTCCGCTGTTGCGCATCCGATCCACAGAGACAGCGACGCATCAGGCTCGACGCTTTCTGTCTGCGCTCAACGACCATTGTCCGGTCGTCGGTGAGCGAGTCCACGCAAAGGTCACGGCCGTGCATGCCAAATGGGTGCGGGAATTAGCCTATCCCGACCGTTGGACGGCCATCCGCGCTTTCATGAACGTGTAAGTAATCGAATTTCTTCACCATAATATTTTACTTTCGGAATTGTCGGTCTTTTGCTCATCAGGTTCAGCAGTTTCCGTCCGGATGATGGGGCACGGCCGTGGGATGCCGTAGACCTGCGCCAACTAGACGTCTCCAGTCTGAGTAAGCTGTCCATGGCTATGCTCGATGGATACTACCAAGGCTGATGTCAAACTTTTCTCAGTGAAATACCAGCTAACAGTAATTGAGACTCGGGGAAATTGTTTGACGCATACATCCGCATACGATGTCCATACGTTTATTCTTCTATGTCGCCGTGTAATTACTAATCCTATGCGGCAATCCTGCTCCACCCGTTTTCAGGCGAACTGCATGTTTCAGAATCTTGATATACATATTGCGGAAGTATAATCTATCTCTCGGCTCGCTTTCTTTCCGCCAACTTCTCTAACACGGAACCTTCTCCTGCCGGCTGATTAAAACAGCGTCGCAAGGGAGGAACGTTTCCAGAAGTAATTCATTAACATCATTTTCATACACGCGACCGACATTTACAATGGCTTGCTGTGCAGATAATGAGTTCTTTAATAATTTTTTGTCAACCTTCTTTTCTTATGTTCGTCTTTCCATCTTCTACTTTTTGAAAACGAGTAAAAATATTTTCGGTGGCACGTATCCTCATACCGTAGCTTATTTGCATTTGCAAAGATCGTTGTGTGTTTCTTGCGGCATAACTACCAAGTATCCCGCAGGCACTAATCGCCGTCTTCAGGAAGGCTGCAGCGGAACCAGAGAACAGGTTAAAACACGAATTTCACGATTAGAAAAAATCTGAATAGACATCAGCCATCATACGGTCGTAATATAATAACACAAAAAAGCTGCTCTACTCGTTCTGGTATCTATACTTACAGCCGACAGTCACTTCATATCGCCCGGGGCATCACTGCACGGAGCAAAGAGAAAAATTGTCATGCCAGGCAAGTGTGCGCTACCTACGTACTAAAAGGCACTGTGGTTCGCTTATGCCAGCCTTGTATTCGACGTGGCAGACCTTATTGACGCATACACAGCCGTCTTCACGAATCGCAGCATTGTTTTTGACGCAAAGTGATCGTTATAAATTCAACTAGTATACTCTTCGTGAGCTAGGGGCATCCAGAGGATAGGATATACCGGTATATCCAGCCCATCCTGTTGTCTACAGTTTCGCAAGCAAAGTGCGATGCCGTCACCATCCCGTGAGTCAGCGTCCGATATTGTGATTTCGGGGTTCGATCACGATGGCGGTACAACTTTTCGCCGGTCTAAATTCAAGACACTCCTTCCCCGGCTTATTAATCGGACGATGAAGGGTTTCATGAAAATTTGCAAATCACGAAATATTTCTGGAGTTTGTAGCAGTTTGTGGGTGCCAGCAATCCAGTTGGTACTGCGCCCATTTCGCGGTCCGCTGACCATTAACGCATTCGATATCAAACTGTCAATAATGTTTTCTCTATGCACCGTGTTTTATGCTGGTCTCGCAGGTTTTCTTTACAGAAACAGATCCCCTTCCAAATCAGAAGACGATGCAGCAATCATTTGTTCGAGTGTTTTTGCAATTTTGTTTTTCTTTGTGCATGTATCTCGGGTCTGGTTCACTTCACGATGTTATCCCTCGTACTATAAAATTAGACTTTTCCTCCAACACATAGTGACAATTTCGCCCATAGAATGTCGGCAGCATATTGAGCGCGTCCGATCAGGTTAGTGCACTGCTCAGTGCGTTTGCTAGTTGCATGAGATATTTTTGTAAAGTGGCCTGGTACACGGAATTTGCGTTTATTAACGGTAAGTATATACTTTTTTCGGAGTTCAACAAACGAAATGATGACAGATTTATTACGAACAAATATTACAAAACAACAACGCTTTTTCAGGGCGCCCCTGGCTGGGATGGCAGATCGAGTGTGGTTATGACGCTCAAAGCGGTGATGCACCAATGGCGAAGGTGGTGACTAGCACCTTTCACGAGGAGTTTCAGTTTTCGTCCTGTGAGGATGTTCGTGACCCAGTGGAACTGGCCGGTCTCGAACAAGACAAACTGACATGGATTGACTTTTCTACAGAATTCGTGCTGGCCGACGCCCACACCGAGAAAGCCTTCAAAGAAAAACAGGAGCAGTTTGTGGAAGCTCATCGCCGTCGTGAAAGGCAGTATGAACTGAAAACAATTTTGTCACTTCCTGAATTCAGGAAAATCGTGGTAGTTTCGCCTTCGCGCAAAAGGCCGTTGTTGTTCCACTGGTGGTGCTATGTCGTGGCAACTTGGCTCATGCTGGATCTGCCGTACCTCTATTTGCTCAATATGTGCTGGTCACGGATCGTTGCATTTAAGTATGTTAAACGCTTTCAAATCTGACACCGTACGTCGTGAGCAAGGCTGTCTTTTGCATAAATTTGAATTTTCCCTTTTATCGCGGATTATGATCGTGAATTTGTGTGTCGGACCGCAATGCCGAAATCAGTTTGTTCTGTTCATAATATTTCTACTTCATGTTTTTGCAAGCCGAAGTGAGTCAGGCACCATTTTGCACTAAAAGAGCGGCTTGGTGAGCAGTTACGCTTTCCCTTCAATTAAAATCAGTTATTAGCGTTCGATCGCGGCATCAAACTAGCAGTCCATCAATGTTGGTCCACTGCAACATGTTCTCACGCATCCAGTTAATGCGGAGCCAGCTTCAGAAAACGCCGTACTTTGCAGTTGATATATTTTATTAAGTTTGAGTTTTATAATTTACAACTAAGAACATTTATGACATTAAGAAGCAAACGAGAAACTGTTACACAAAAGTTGCTTTCAGCAAAATACGTTACCTGCCTGATGAGATTGCGCTACAGAGTCGGGTACATGGAAATTGCCGCGCACGCTGCTCCATATTCAACGTAACGAGCGCGGTGCTCGGCAACGGGAAAGCAGATCTTACAAGTTTTTGGAAAAACTTAACGGAGAAGCTCTATCGTATTCTTTATTTACCTGTTGCTTATTTGTTTAAGTTATTATTGCTGTAGCTAATGTTTTGCGTATTGTTATAAAGGGAACGAAACCAATGTATTTGATAACCGGAACTCGCTTAGCGAATCAAAATCGTAGTAAATCAGCTATAAAATTTAATGATGGCTGCGACTACACTGCAAACATCCAAGCGGCAATCGATATCCGAAGTTATGGTTGTCTTTACGGTCTGTACGCACATTCACACTGTCTCAGTTTGGTGAGCGCACCGCCAATCACGAGTCAGCAAGTTACTAGTAACAATTCATCGAATGGTTCAATTTTAACAACCCAAACACCCTTTCCAGTCCACAGGAAGCAAAAGGCACAAATGTGTTAGAGACTTCTGCAGAAAGAAGATTCAAAAATTTAGCGCTGTGACCAAAGATCCAGATGCTGTTATTCATGATTAGGTTATTTTCTTGACTTCAGCGTCAGTCTTTGAAGCATCCATCAAGAGCTGCGAAGGTCACATTTTTCAAAGTTGCAATGTCCAGTTGTCTGAGATCCATCATATCCCATCGCTGCGGGTCATCTCTCTGAAGGCTACTGAACCTAATTAAAAAAAACGCCTTCACAGTTGTACACACATTCATTATGCAGTATCTATTGAGGCCTTACAGCTGCAGGAATGTTCGAATCGCGGTCCACTGATTCGGATACGCTAACGTCCGCACCCAGCGCGCATGCATAGCTACAACTTTTCCAAACACCCTATGGTTCGGCGTCGGGCAGCTGTCGCTAACTGCTGCCAGGAAAATTCGACACTGTTTTGCGATGGTCACTCTCGAAGAAAAACGCAGCAGCGGAACGATCATTTCAGCGTCGCATTCCGGAGCGCCGAAAGGCCGCATAAATGCCTTTTCGAACACCGGCAAACCCGCGTCACCAGAAGGACACAGGATCTGCTGCGCTGCTCCGGTGATGGAAGCCGACGCGACGTAATTGATCAGCACCAGCTGTTCGCATACCCTCAGCAATTCCGTCAACGGCCGGCATTGCAACGTCACGCCAGTGTCACTACCTTGGGAGGTGCTCAGGAATGGCGCCCAAGACGACTTATCGCGGGTGTTTTTGGCAATGATTAACGGCAGACGAAGGTTCTTAATTTCCCAGAGTTTCTGCATCGTCACTAGAATACGAGATGGGTAGGGATGATCCCCGCCCTCCAGCAGCGTCAAGGAGCGAGTGCGTTGCGGATGTAAGCTGTCCAGCATGGTGACCAGTTTGTTTGCGAGATACTCCGAGTGCACGGATGCCAAATCCTTCTCACGTGGCCTTCTTCTACAGGTTTCGCGGAAATCGAAGAGCAAGTGCCGGCGGCCGACGCTGTTATGCCAGATCAGCCTCCATAATACGCATACCCTGTAGTAATTATGTAAACGAAAGTTCAACAGAATGCGAGAAACTGTGAACGGTTACAGATGGCAGTGTTAGGGCGTTTAAATTTCCGGGCAAACAAAAATGCCGGAAATGAATGATTTTCATAGTAAAAACTTCGCTCATGAATTTCGAAAGCATAAACGAGAGAAGATTTCCATAAAAACAACCAAATGAAAAGCAGGAATTGGACCGGGTGCAATGTAAAATTACCGCTCTTCCACGTTTGGAAATTTAAGAAATTTGAAGTTCCATTTTTCAAATTTTAAGAAATTTGAAACTCCATCAATTTTGTTTTGATGATTACAGACAGGTGAAAACAAATCTATCTGTAAAAGAAAGTTGTGCGATCAGCAGCTATTCGTGTAGCGCCACGTGGGGGATGGTGTGTGCCAGCGGTGATAAAAAAATTTGAAACCGCACACGTAAAGTGACCAAAATATGAGACAAAACGAAGTAGTTATTATTTCAGTCACAGTTAATACTACAAATGTCAACAATAATTCTCATTCCCTTCAAACCTAAATAACCTCAATGAGAAACAGTTGCGAGTAATGAACTATACGTGCCGAGAACCATACAGAACAGTACTTGGTATAGAACACTATCTGTACTTGCCGGCTTATCCATAACTGGAAGTCCACATCTAAGTTTTGTATCATGAACGTCAGGATGGGATGCGCAACTTCGTTGATGGTCATCTCTTCTTGATCTATCGAATATAGGTAACTTAAAAATCGTTAAAGACATAAAATCGTATACATAATGAGAAGGAAGCAGCAAACTGCGTTGCCGTTTGATTTACTTACTGAGACGCTGATCAGCCCCGGCGAAATTCTGAGCTGGAGCAGTATGAAGTGGTTCTTCCCTCCGTTTCCATTCCAAGAACTGCTCGCAAGCGGTATTCAGGCCCTCTTCGCTCCAGAATGAGCTGCGACCCGTTGCGTCGTCATGCATCTCGGCGCAGACAATACTGACTGTATCAAGTTCAGCTCGTACAAACATGCGACAAGCATCATCGCCGTGCCGATCGCCTGTGGCCACCGACCGGTGTACACCGGTACATGGAACCGCTATCCCGTCAACTGCAACCGTTCTGCCGAATGGACATATCCCTTCACGGCGGTCAGATATCTCTATTAGCCTCTTGCGGCGCACAAACGGCGGCAGGTAATGCAGTCCGGACAATGAACAAGCTTAGAGGAACCCGATGACGTGCTTCTTGTACACGAACCCGGTGGATCGCCCGACAAAACTTTCACAATCATCCGGTACCGGCAGTTGCTCCACAAACTGATTAAGCTGCACGAAACGACGATCCGATGGGGGAGGATCATTTGATGCAGAGGGAGGATCCTTTGATGCAGAGGGAGGATCCTTTGATGCAGAGGGAGGATCATTTAATGGAGAGTCCCGACGAAGTTGGTCACTGCTGAACAAACACTGGATTTTGTCGCTCTTCCCGCCGACGTCGGTACAAGGCTGGAAAATCATCGGCTGGTCATAAACATCCTGGAGCGCCACGGGCATGGCGTCGGGAAATTTTTGAAAGGAAGGTAGATGGTGCGGCCAAAGATGTTTCGTATGGATCCATTGCTTGGGTAGTGCGCTGGCATCGAAGTCTACGAGAAAGTTGTCGCCGTCAATATCCTGAACATGTCCCAGCCACCATTGACCGTTTAGGCGATGAACCAATACGGTGTTAAGGAAATTTACCTCACGCGCTCCCGAGCACCAGTTGCGCAAAATCAGAAAGTTCATAATATTATGGTAAAGCTGACGAAGCAGTTGCAAATGGATGGACCAACGAATAACTTAAAAAGAAATTTTGTGGTTGAAATAAAATCTGTAACGTTCTAAGAAGTAAAAAACGTAGGGCCTTGTGCTGAGAAGTAAAAAAATTACAAAAAACCACACGAATATTGAGTTGGATACAACGAGCTTCACTTCTTTAACCCAACAATGTCCGGAATCTCAAGAAACATTTTGCCGAAGTACAAACTAACAATACTGCAGTGGCTGCTCAAGTTCCCGAAATTTTCGTACAGTGTGCAAACGGCAAAGGCATACGCAGAACGTTCTCTTCAACACCAACTGGACAGGCTGAGCTGGCTGTTAACCCTGCCAGTTTGAGTCATCGCAGCGGCAGAGTTTTGGATTCAGGTGTCATTGAATTACTGTGACGATTTCAAGATACAGCAAGCAGACAAATGGTCAGTCGGACTTTAATCCGGAACAATATACACTGCTGACCCACAATCAAAATAATCAAGCAGATTTAGGTAAATTTTTGTGTGTACATCTACCACTGGGATGGAATACGATCGTGAATGTTAAATGAGAAACCGCAGATGCTTTCAATTTCCATGCTCAGTTTTCCTTCACGCTGATTTTTTAATAACCGTGTGCACAGCATTATGAACGCTACATCTCTTTTTCTGCGGCAACTCCACTCGGGTTCCCGGGAAATAAATTACGGGAACACGGTGCTAGTGCAGCGCAACACCGGCCAGTGGTGGCTGGGATACGTGCAGGACATTGACGATGATAAGTTCTTCATTGACTTCGATGCCAGCAGCGTCCCCGCCCAATGGATCCATACCAGCCAATTGTGGTCGCATCGCTTTCTGAAGAGTGCACCCGAAGGCTCCTCTGTCGAGGTGGCCCTACGTGAAGAAGACGGCGGACCAATGGTCTTTCGACCGGGAACTCTGAGCGGAAAAGTGTACGGCGACTTCTTTACTGTACGGCTAAACGATCCAGTCGGCTCCTGCATCATGCATCCCTGTCGGATGGTCAAACGGCTCCCCATCCGAAAGCGCAGTCTATTCGCCAGTGACAACGGGTTTCGGTACATCAAGCACGTGATCCAGTACGAACAGGCACACCTGTTGCGAGATGTGGATTTCCTTCCCGTGTTTTTGGCTCCATGGTGTCGGGTTAAATTCTTTCGGGGTGACGTCATGTGTGAAGATTCGTGCCAACTGAAGATAGCAGTGAGAATGGACAGTTCTACAATATATTGCCTGTGTGGAAGGATGCGCGTGGAATTAAGTATTGGTTGTCGAGCGTTTGTGCGTGTGACTGGCGATACGGTTACGGCTGTTTGTGCTGAAATTCACGGTGAAGAAGCCGGGCGATGGATGTTCTGGGACGCAGATACTGTACATGACGCTTGTGACTTTTATTTGGAGGCACAGCGGTCC